TATATATATATATATATATATATATATATATATATATATATATATATATATATATATATAATATATTTTACAAATATATATAAAATATATATACACTCACGACAAAATTGAAAGCTTCTTTTATCACTTTTCTTAGAATGTTCTGAATTGTGGAGGCAATATAAAAATCGAAAAGCAATTTTAACACAAATCGCAATATATCTCGGAATATTAATTCTAACACTAGGTCCTCTGATGATATATACTTTACTACGGAAATATCGAAACTATCAGCTACAAACTATAGGTATTTTTTCCCTGAATTTTTATTCTTTATATCAAAAGAAAATGCAATCTTATAACACATGAGTGCTAAAATAAATATAATACGATTAATAAATTAACAGGTGTAAGAGATATCCAAAATGCATCGATGCAAGGATTAATTAAAGGAGAGGACAATTAAACTTAATTAGTTACAATATGTCACGAAATAATGATATGGAATCTTTAATTTTCTATAATAGTTGTGGTAATCTATACGAATAACTAATTAATTGATTAATTTAATGGAAACAAGAGGGTTAAATTAATTAATTAATTGTTAATGTTACAAAATATATATTATAATATAATACTTATTGCGCAATATCGCCCATAAATTACTGTTTTATATTAAAATTTTATCTGCCATTTTTTATAGAAAATTTAAATTGCAGAGAGGTAAGTAAAAAGAGCACGTATAAAGAGTGAAATTAAAAAAGAACAATCTTCTCTATATAATTTAGTCAAAAAGAAATCAGAATTAATAAATTATATTACTTATATATCAATCGTTATCTTGCAAATAACATAAAACTGAGTTGACAGAAAAACAATTTTTAAGCAATTAAAACCTAAAAAACTGTAATATAAAGAGTATTAGTATTTTTATTGGCCAAGAAACCGAAACCGGAACAGTTATTAAATATCTTATTTTACCGAGCCGAAATTTTAGTCCAGTCGGAGTCTTTGACATCGATAGTTTTAAGCAGTTTTTATTTGTGGCGTAAATAAGCATGCAGACTTGTAGCTATAATACTGATAGCACAGCATATCCTGCCTCATGCATATCAACATAATACCACGCTGGTGGAGAGCAAAAGATAGACAATAAAGAGATAAATGAGATGAAACACTGGAAGAACGCATTACGATGGTCAGTCTAAATATTACAGAGCACATGTTCACATCGTAGAGAAACTAGAAATCATGGGATTACTCAGAAGTTTGGTCGCTATTCTGACTGTCAGAGTATTGTTATTAGAAGTAGCTACTGGGAGAAGCTACTGGAATTGGTCACTTAGACCAATTGAATTCCGCACCATAACTCCTTCATATTCAGCAGATTATAAACAGCTTATGGTATCCCCTAAAATGGATAATCTCGAAAAAGAAAAGTGTACTGAAATAGTCAGGTATTATTATATTTATTATAAAATCTCCTCTGTAGAAATTTATGTATTTACTATTTATTTTAATACTAATTTATCGGTTTAACAATTAATAATAGGAATTTAATAGAAACAATTAAGAAATTCTTCTCGATTCTTCTTTTGTTATAGTCATAAGATACCGCAATACGTTCCTTATACGGAAACATATAGAACGAGATCATGGACCGGATTTTATCAAATCAAGACTCGTCTGAATTATAAAATAGAGGTAATTGTATTTTGATATAACGCGGTCAGAGAGAGGGAAAGAAAAAGAGAGAGAGAGAGAGAGAGAGAGAGAGAGAGAGAGAGAGAGAGAGAGAGAGAGAGAGAAGCGAGACTATTTTCGTATAAATAGTTCGTAAAGATAGTTTCCGTATAATAGGAAGAAAGAACAAAATATATCATATAGTATTAGTCATATTTTTCGCGCTATTACCTGATTGGAAATCAAGTTATTGCGCTTCAAAATTAAATTATTCGATATTTAATAGATCAATCTTTCAAACAAGCACTAAAAGAGATTTTTAATGGATATTGTTAACCTCTACGCTATGTTTAAAACTGTTCTCAGACATAAATGTTATTCAAATATTGTTGTCCAAGCAACAATACGTCCAATAAGGATGTACCAGTAAAAAAGTAACAGTAATTAAGTGATGCAAAAAATAATAATATTAAATGTAAGTAAAAAATCAAGTTTCTGTTTTATCGCACATGTTTAATTTTATTTCTAATATCTTGTTTGATTTTTAGTACGCTACTTGTCTGCTCATGTCACCAATACATAATTACTGAAACATAATTCACTAACTCGCAAATCATATTTCTTTACAGTATCATACTATACACACTGTAAGACCAACGTGCTGCGAGGGTTATCAGAAAATCGGCCTGAATTGCGTGCCATATTGTGAGACGCCCTGTGAAAAGGGAACCTGCATAGCTCCAAACACATGCAAGTGCAATGCGGGATACCAGATTATGGAAGGCACAAATGGCACAAAGTGCCAACCGATATGCGCGAACGGCTGCATTAACGGCACATGTGTCGAACCTAATATTTGCAAATGCAACGAGGACTACTGGATGAGCGCGGACGGGATCACTTGTCTTCCCATCTGTCAAAAAGAGTGCGAGAGCAACCACGGATTCTGTGCCAAGCCGTACGTCTGCTCTTGTCACTTAGGTTACAGAAATGTTCTCAATGTGTCCAGGTGTGAACCTATCTGCGAACGCGAGTGCACGAACGGTTACTGTATAGCGCCTAACGTTTGCAAGTGCGCGGACGGTTACGAGGTAGACGAGTTCGATCCGAACTTCACCTGCGGGCCGAAGTGCAGCGAGGGTTGCGTTTACGGCACGTGCACGGCGCCCGAGACTTGCACTTGTGACCACGGTTACAAGGCAGTAAACGCGAGCATCTGCGAACCGATTTGCAGCGAACCCTGTAAGATGGGAGTCTGCGTGGCGCCCGAGAGCTGCGGCTGCAACGACGGTTATGGACTCATCGCCGACTCCAAATACATTTGCGAGCCGATCTGTGAATTCAATTGCAACAACGGTACGTGCACCGCGCCGGGAGTATGCACCTGCGACGAGGGTTTCTTTTATGACAACAGTACAGAAACAGTATGCAAGCCGCTTTGCGACATCCCCTGCGGAGCGAATGGAGAGTGCACATCGCCCAATAATTGCACTTGCTTCGAGGGATACCACGCGGTTCCCTTAAACACCTCCAATGTAAGTTTGACAAAGCACAAAGTATAGATATTATTAATTACTATACACCAAAATTTGCCAAAGTGCTAAAACATGAGATTTCCTTCTTCTTCATGGGATGAAGAATACATCACGTGCTTCTTATGATATTTTGTTATTATTATTATCAAGGAATCTCTTTCAATTTCAACTAATTCGCAGCTATTATTAGCATTCTTCACGTTCGAACGACCGTACTTTGTTTGACAAACATCAAGCCGCGATTATTACTGAATTAAATGTATCGCAATATTATCATAGTATTCCTAAGAGAAATCCTTTAGTCACAGCTAATTTAAAAAGGTTCACTTATCCTTCGGTGAACAATCAGATAATCGACAATTCTACGGAAGAGTTTCGCTCCATCTGTCAGCCAATTTGTGATTTCGAATGTGCTAATGGCAAATGTACCGCGCCAAACGTATGTACCTGCACCAAAGGGTATCGTCCAACTTGGATCGGGTCTCTCCAACAATTCCTCTTGTTCGACAACAACACGTCACACATCTGTGAACCAGTTTGTAACCCTCCCTGTGGGACTAATGGAATATGCACTGCACCCAATGTTTGCACCTGCAAAGACGGTTACACGAAAAATAAGGGCGACTATTGCGTGCCTCTTTGCGCACAGGGCTGCGCTAACGGCACATGCACGGAGCCAAATCGTTGCACGTGCAACGACGGCTTCAAGCCGCAAAACGAAAGCGCCTGCGAGCCGATCTGCGAGCACGGTTGCGAGAACGGTGACTGCGTCGCGCCGAATGATTGCGTCTGTCACGAAAACTTTGTGAAAAACACTGGTTACCATTTCGTGGCGGAATGCATTCCCGCGTGCACCCGTAATTGCAGCGGGCACGGCGAGTGCGTCATTGATTATGAGTACAATTGCAATTGCAACTTCGGATGGAAAGGATGGGATTGCGAAGAACCGACTATGTGTGTTGTAACGATGAACTTCAGTCAACGCGCTAACTATATAACCGATAGGTAAATATTTTCATCTACCCCGGGAATTGTTTTCTCATTCGCGAAAAGCCTTCGCTACACGATGATGACGAATAGTCTTGTGACTCATTAATGTGATTTACAGGATCACGATCTTTAACGACACGGATAGCGCAACTGCGCAAACACTCGCGGACGCGCCGTATTGTTATCACTGTGATAGCTTTCTCAGTAACGAATCGCTCTGCTACATGGTGTACTCTGACGAAGCCAACGCTACGACTTCAACTGTCAGTTGTTTACTTAGCATAGGTACTTGCACTATCTTAAAGAAGAAGATACCATTCTTTTTATCTATAATAAAAAAATTTTCGAAGATTGGTCCATGAACGACCAGAATTTCGGTTTTGCGAAATTCTGCGAGAATTTACGAATTAAATAAGAACAGCAACTTTCTATTGATTATTTCCATGAAAATTAAAACACAGAAAAATTTGGAACTATCCAATAGAAAGACAACCCAATACAAAATTACAAAATTATCAAAATTTTGCAAAGTTAATACTGAGAACAGAGAGCGATTTCCTATGATTTTAATTGAATATGACGCAATGTTGGAATTAATTAGTTTTATTCATATTTCATTTTGTTTTGTAGACTTGCCTTGTTACACGACACCTCGTTACAACGCTTCGTTTAATAGTGCCAAAATAGTTTGGCCCGTCGCCTCTGTCACCATATTAATCGTGATAGGTTTAACGGCGACAACGTACTTAATGTATCGCAGGCATCAAAGGAATCAAAGGAAACTGACCGCAGGTAATTTGTTGAAATACGTCGGCGGAGCTAAATGTAGCTTATGAAAGCTAAATGTGTCAAGTCAAAAGGTTAGGAGTCCAAGAAGGAAGAGAGATAGATAGATAAAGTGAGAGAGAGAGAGAGAGAGAGAGAAAAAAGTGTAAGAATGTAATCGTTACAAGATACACACATTGCATTACTTCCTAAACATATGAGATAAATGATGACGAGCAATGTGAATGATAATAGATACGCGTCACGTGAATATTTTAGAAGATATTCTGTAACTTTTTTATTATTTAGTCACTTAATAAAGTTTCACTTGTCTATTAGAATGACGTGAGACGAGAAGCTCAATGTTCTAATGAATATTTTCTTATATCATATACATAACAACAATGACAAATATGAAATATTTATTCCCACAGGTAACTCGACGGCCCATTTAATGCGAAATCCTTCCATCATCGAATCTTTATCCTGCGAAAATTCAAGTGAAGAATAATTCATATGAAGAACATCAACGTAAAGATAGTCGTTGACTAGTGATTAATTAGATTGTGGTGCTTTATTGCTTACGCAGCATTTTCTAGAAGATTAATAGCATTCAACCAATAGTTGCTATTACCAACAACGTTGCCGCACGCGATTCTAATAGAGTTGATTATTTTTTTAAACAAATGTGTACCAAAATGTTTCTTAATAAAGTAACAAAATGAAACATTACACAAAAATGAAGAAGTAAGCGACTATTAAAGTGATCTCCACCATGATTTTTGAGTAGACCGATTCATTCCACTATGCAACGCGAACGTAACAACGATTCTCCGCGACGCACTCGTAATGTTGTTAAAGCTTGCTGTGAATGGACCCGCGTAGATAGATAAGTCGTCTAATACGAGACATGACGCAATCGGAGCTGCTCAACACCGTTCAACGATAACGAAACATTGTCGTAATCGAGGTAACTGTCGGCGAATACGGCCGCGATATATCGGTCACCCCGTTTAGACTGTAATTGCTGCCCCAGTTACACCCTCGCAGATGTCCGCCGACGATAAGGGAGCGAACGTCATTCTCTGCGATAAAACCTGACTCCAGCCGACGAAGGCTGGTCCGGCCGTGCCTTATTTTCACCTCTGCGAATCGATCACGGCGCACTGCCGCAACTTAACACCCGGCGATTCGACACGCTCGTGCTCGCCGTGCCAGTGAACTCGGATCAGGGTAGGAAGAGCTTTCCCAATTCTTCAGGTCGCAATGGAGAGACTCCGCGAAAAAAGAACCGTCGTCAGCCTAACAGCCCCAATGTGTATATATATGTATATATATATATATATATATATATATATATATATATATATATGTGTGTATATATATATATATATGTATGTATGCATTCGCCCTCCGCTCTCCGAAGAGACAGACCCACGAAGACTAACCCCTGTTCGCAATCGACGTGGCGAGGCAAGGCGAAGCGAGGCGAGGCGAGGCGAGTCGAGGCGCCGCGACGCCCGCGTCGGAATATAGCAGCCGCGACGCGCAGCTGCAACCCCGTCGCTCTCCCGAGGACCCACGGCATCAGTGAACGAGACGGCGCGGTTTCGTGCGGGCTCGTATCGCATCTCCTCAGAGAGTGCTCGGGGTTGCGAACACGCGGAGGTTAAGCCTCGGCGTCGGGTGCACCCCGTATCGCCGTCGCCGTTGTCGACGTCGTCGTCGCTGTAACTGCCATACGGACGAACGTGGCATACGCGGCATAGAACGTTTCTCTGGGGCATCGAGGGTGAGAGGGTGCGCCGGCGGGGGGAGGGGAGGGAGAGCAGGCGACGGGGAAGGATGTCGATGCGCCGTCGGTGGTCGGTTTCGGGGGTTGACTCGCGCCGCGGGGGCGATGAGCGCACTTCCCTCCGCCCTAAGACTGACCTGCTGCTGCTGCTGCTGGCTCCTGCTGACCTGCCTCGTCTTCTTGATACCCGCCTGCATCTGCGACACGCGGCAGGTACGCCGGACCCGAGAACGGCCAGGAGGTGATGACGCGGTACGCGGATCCAGCTACCTCAACAGCAACGTCGATATTTACGACGACGGACAGATACCCACAAATGGCGACGACGAGGATTACCTCGAGACAAATATTACCGCGGGTGAGTGTCACGGCCAGGTTGATACGATGTTCGGGAAAGTAAGTGCACTGGCCGTCGGGGTTGAGACCAGCAGTGATTCTGATACTCGACGAAATCCTTCCGCGATAACAAGTTTTTAAATGGTTGACGATATAGACATCGTCTCGAGGCAAATCGTCAATGAGGATTTCCGTGTGGATAAATCAGAGGCGTGTGGTTAAAATCCTAACTTCCGAGGCAAAATCGCAGTTGCTCGAGGCATCCTGACGGAACATTTAGAAGTCAAGGACCTGTACAGGATGGCTAGGGTTGTGATGATATTTCGTTACCTAGGTGATGTTGGTGAAGGTGTTTAAAGAGGGATAGGGATCGTCGACGAATAAATCTTTCGTTTTTTTAATACTTTAAGGAAAGAGTAGAAGAAGTAAACGTCATTGTTATCGCTGTCACCTCACTTGTAACTCCGATCGCGAGGCACCGAAATTCATGAAAGATTGTTCGAATAATATGTGACATTTTAGTAAACTCAGAATACTATTTGCTATTTTTATATTATTGTGCGATATTCGTGAAACACAAATGGCATATGCATTAAACATATCGTGAAATAACAATAATCGAAATTTTAATAATCGAAAAAAAAGAGTGTTATCTTAAATAATATTACTTCTTAAAGAAATTGAAATTACTAAATAAAAGGAGTTACGAAATTCTCAATTGTTTAGATGTACATGCTTGGTAAAATGTATTGCTTATGCACAATTTTTTTTCTTATATCAAGACTTATTACAGAAAAGTGCTAAAATGAAGTTACTATTTTATTTATTCCGTATTGGCTAATAATAACGTGTAATTTTATATGTTCTAGTATATTTTTTATATTAATACTTACAAAATATTAACTTAAAAATAAGAAATATGTAAAATAAGAATAGAATAGATTTCACATTCTTTTTTAAATAAAAAAATGTAAAAAATTAATGAAAACAATATACAGCTAAAACTAAAATTTCATCTCATTAAACTTTGACGCATATCTTATTAAGAAATCAATTATACACTACGTCTGCTTATTAAAAAGAAAAAGAAACACTAAATCTGCCTTGGAAAAGAATTGTTTCACAAGCGATAAGATTACAATGAGAAAATAATTCGCAACTCCTTCGAGAAGTTTCAAATAGACAATAAAGGAACAATGAAAATTAAACAAAAGTTTAAGACAAAAAGAAGAAGATAAAATTGATAAAGATGGAAATAAGATAACGGATGTAACAAACATCGTTACGCGAAGATTTGCTCGATAAATATCGAGAGATTAATATAAAAGTTCTGTTCAATTTGCGAAATAAGTTACGCATGAAATGACGCTTCATTTTTACATAAGACAACTACGATCGAAGATGATAAATCTCAAGGTTCTCCTTTACCGACTTCACTTTATTCGTGCCTGCTCCATTTCGCGCAAACGCTTTTCTCGGGAATGTTCGTCTACCGGATTAAACAGTTTCGATTTCAAACATTTCCACGTGTGACGCTTATTAATCACATGTCCAAGTAGTCAACAACAATACTCGTCGATAATCTCGACAAGCGCGATTACTTTTTTAATCAATTTGAGAATAAAATATATGTCTATATAAAAATTTTTCTATTAAAATTACATGTCTATTAAAATTGCAGATTTCTCAGAAGTATTTTGGAGAAAGTAAATACGCGGTGATTACTTAAGTAAATTATTATAAATTATAAAAGTCAAGATTTTTTAAATATATAACATTCTCCTCGTAATAACAAAATGTCGTAATCACTAATTGCCAGTTAAAGTTTTATTAAAGCGACCCAATGTGAATTTTAAGTTTCTGTTAAACTACCGTATCGTACACTTTCTTTTCCTTCGGTGATGTTTTTAATTGCACCAAATATTACCGTACGCTCGTATCTCGAGCTATAGCTCAGTTCGTTTTTTGATATTTCTTTGCTCGCTTCATCACAGTTTACTGAGACGTGTAATGTCATTCCTGCAATCCGGAAAAATGGAAAGTGTCTGTAGTGTGCGGTTTAGCGCACGCGTTGATTTAACCGAGAAGGAAACGCATTCTTCTTGATTTTCGCGCCAAGTACGCCAAGCCGGTATTGATTTTAATGGATGCTGCTAGCTTCGCAGGTCCGCGTGTGCGAGGTGCATACAGCGTGCAAGCGCACGCTATGCCTACTGTGTTCTTTTTTGGAAGGGGATGTTTTATGCGAGAGTAACGACTAATAGAAAAGATAGCGTATCATTCATGTATATTCGCCGCCTTTCCATTCATAAACCGTGTACGCTTTTTCAGTATTTCAGAAAAAGCAATCGAATGGAACAAACTGATTAGCACGGAAAGCAAAGCTTAAACGTTTAATTGACCGCGATACGAAATTAATATGTAACGGAAAACAGTACATGTCGCAAAGTTGGTAACATTTCGAATTTGCTTAATTGTCAAATTAAAAAATATTGATTATTACAGCAGAAATAAATTATTAAATACGATGTCAATGACTTAACGAATATAAATTTATTCAAATACCAGAAATAAATACTCCTTCACGGAGAAAAATAATTTTGCTCTTTTAGCAAAGTCGTCATTGCTATTGGATATTAGTAGTGACAGCAAAAAAAATTTAGTTGATGTAATTAATTTTACAAATTATTCGTTATCAGAGCAGAAGTAGTTTCGTTGCCAGGATAAAAAAATTTATTGAGTGTATTTGTCCTAAGAATCACGTTACTTTGCTATCAATGCAAAATAATGTATCCTTAGCAAATTTATTTGCTATCGGAGCAAAATTGCAACTGCTTATATAAATCCATCATGGTTTTTCCAGCAAAATAATTTGTAGATTCAGCAAATTATATCTATCAAATAGTGATTAGTAGTATTCTTAGCAAATTTTTTTACTGTCCATATAATAACGAAAAGATTTTGCTAGACTAGCAGAAAATTTGCTGGGCAAATTATTTTTCTCCGTGTTCATATTTGAATGATATGAGTTTTTGAAAACTTTCCACGATCTGAACTTATCCGTCAAAATGACTTGAAATAACTTTAACGACTTGAACACAATTTTTCTTAACACTGTTTTTAATAAGGTTACCCTGATTCATCAGTTGTTACTGTTAACTCGCACTGAACGCTTTATAAATCACGCTAATCTAAATTTTCGCTCGATGAGGAAACGATAGGATGCACGCGAAGCGGCCGTAACACGTACGTGCGCGTGCAATGAACTCTTATCGCGAAATTAAACACGGCCTGGTAAAGAAATTCACTCGCGAGACTATATAGAAACCTGTAAGAGTAGAACGCGAAATTGTGTGCGAGTACGACACTCGTCACGAATCGACGTAAACTATGTCGCGCGAACAGTATTATCCGTCAGACAATGAGTTCTGTAATATTGAAATCTGCGCATTTGCATAGGCGTCCGCGGCGCCGTTAAATAACACGGAACATTTATACCCCGTGACTGTGTCGTTGTCATTAAACAAGCGATTTATGTATCGAGCCAAATAATACAGTCAAACGAAAAGCACGTCGTAGTTGATGAAATTACGAAAAAATATTTACTCCAGATATAAATATTATTAAGATAGAGATATACAAGTAATTATAATGCATAAAACATCGAAAATGTATGTGTGTGTGCGTGTGATAAACACAGAAAAACAAATTTGAGAAAAATCTCCGTGACTTATTCATAATGCATTCGTTCGTAACAAATCAACATCGTCAACAATAATGACAAAATCAATTTACACGGTTCAACCCTACGAAAAGCGCTTTATCATAACCGATTTGAGAGATGTTTAATTGGAGAAAGTTTGTAACTTTCTCTCTCTCTCTGTCTCTCTCTCTCTCTCTCTCTCTCTCTCGTTTTCTCTCTTTCTCTCTCTGCCGATATATTGTCGCAACTGCAATTTGAAAGCGTGCCAAGGGAGTGTGATTATCGCTTAGCCCACTAATACGAAAGGAACAAAGGACGTAGTAACGATACAGTTACAATACTCTAGGGGTGAATTTATAGCGAATAGGTTGGCACGCTGCCCGCACAATGTAGCTAAATTTCAGAATTGGATTGATATATATTACTCACGCGTTGCTTCGATATCATACTTCGTTGAAACGATATTATCAAAATACTAAATAATAATGTAATAAATACAATTCACTTATTGACACTTAATAAAAAATATATGAAGTGTATCAATCATTCTGTACTTATTAGCAACAAAACATATGTTTCTACATTAACATAAAAACGATGAATTTTTCATAAATAATAATATCTTATTATTGCAGCTATTTAGGAAGACGCGAAAATATTTCTTATATTTCTATAAGATATTTTTAAATCGTTTAGAATAATTGAAATATCTGCATACCATTTCCAATTTTTTAACTTTATTTTTAGACTTTTTTCGTTTCCAAAGTGCCTATCCAAAAATAAATAAAATTCGATTAAAAATACAGAATCCCAAAGAGCTTAAAATATCACTTCAACACATATTGAATAACAAGCTAACCACAAAATCTGACCCGATGCCAATTAGTGATCCCGAATGGTATAAATGGATTAATTAAATTTGTAAAACGGCTTATATATCTCACAAAGCTTGATCGCGATTATACATCTATATAAATTGTTGATGTAATGTCAAGTGCTGCGTAACGTACTTGAGTAATTTATAAACTATAATCATTTATAAGACATATATCTTTATAATAAAACGTTCATTATATAATTATATCAATAATCATTAACTGAAATTTTACAGAAATAAAGAATTTATCAGATATATTTCACCAATTTATTTCCTTAAATAATATAATTTCCTTGGACACTTTTTATAAAAACCCCATTTGTAAAACGTATCAAGAAAAAAAGCCCGGATATGTGTGTCAGGAATTAAATGCAAAGCACGAAACTTTCAGCTTTGATCTAATAATCCTCGCGCTTTTGTATAATTGAGTTGAAGATTATCGCTTTTAGCCACCGTGCAAAAGTACAATTGAAAATGGAGATATCGTACTACTATACATGTAACTTTCTTTCTTTTTTTTTTTTTACAGAGAAGGGACGGTACTTGGGCTCGCCTTGCGATCTCGTGTGCAATTCCGAGCTACAGCACGTGTTCTGTGATGCAATCACTGGCCTTTGCGAGTGCGAGAAGTTCTACCCCGTTCGTCTCGGGCCTACCAAGGGATGTGCCAAACGTACGTAGGAGCTAGTGACTAGTAACCCTCGCGCAAGTAGGTCGTTCCGATATCATAACTTCCATGGTAACGGTCGGTGAAAATAAATGTTCGCGCGCTCCTGATGGCCTGAATGAATTCTCCGGTCCGGTGTGAAAAGACTCCGCGTACACGTTCGTTTTATGCGTCGAATGTGAAGCGTACGTCGGCCGTCGTGTACGTGCGAGCGAAACCGCAAATATATCTTGCGAACTTCAACGTTGATAACGTTAAAAACATCTTTAGGGGATCACATTAAATATAGCAAGCGGTTAAATTAATGTGAGAAAACGGATAAACTTTAAATAACTCGTAAGTCTTTCAGCTCGTCTTATGTCAGTCTTATGTCAGTCAGCAGTCGAGAATAGATTCGAGAATATCTTTTATATACATAAAAATTTTCATCCACAAATGAAACAATGCTTAAAAGTGAAATATCATCTTCCAATCAGGCACGCAAGAACATTTTTCGAATTTGCATTGAAGACAGAAATAATGAAGACCAATCTAGAAGCGATGAATTAGTAATCTGTGAAAACGAACAAAGACACGGAATTCGAAGATTGAGCAAAGTTGTTCTGTCGGCAACCTGAGAAAGATTGAACCTATCGTTGAAATAGACGACTTTGATCAACTTCCTATTGAATAAAAGATACGCTTCTCAATGAGCGTGGTCGTTTCGAACGATCGATTTCTACTTTCAGCCAAAAGACTCGGAGAGCAGTGCTTCTACCGTGCGACATGCACTTTTGCGGATCAACATTCGACGTGTACCCAAGTTCAACACAATGCGGTGTGCGATTGCGAAGAAGGATATCACAGGGTTGCTCTCTCTAGGCCTAACAAGAAGGTTTTCTGCGCGGAAGGTGTTTATATTTTATATCTCTTTTTAAAGAATACTGTATACATAAATTGTTTGGTGGATCAATTCATGATGATTGAAACTTTTCTCTCGGTCGCTCTCAGACTATTAATCAATTAAGGAAGACCAGGACTAGATGTTCTATATTTCAGAATTTCACAGTTACCATTTCTCAGACAATTAATTATTGTGACTGATTGTAAAAACATACTAGAGGCAGTTTTCTTTTTCTACACACAAAAAAATGACTTAGCTAGCTAAACCGTGATAGCTGATTCAACTTAGTTAAAAGGCTAATCGTTTAGCTGTCACTGCTAAGAATTGGCTATGACAGCTAAAATGCATTCACCATGAAATACAAATATATTAGGTGACGTTAAAAATGCACAGTATTTCAAGTAGCTAAGAAAATGGCAGTTATTCCTAAATTTCTTATCGTATGCATATATTAAAGAAGTTTGCCACATAGCTACAATCATTTGCTACAGTCATTTGTTTTTAGCAGCTAATATTTCTCGCTGTAGCGCTTAAGTTTAAACAGCGAATAAATTTAACTTCAGTAGTATCGACATTAGCTGTCCCTATTTCAGTGACACATCTTATTTGCTACAGCTATTTTTTAGCTCTGGAAGATAGTTTTTTTGCGTGTATGTGTTAATACTGCCACGATTCTGTTAAATCTATATTTTGTGTTTTGTAATAACCAAAATACAAACATACAGCAACGTGACCATCTTGCCCTGGTATCGAGTTCAGTTGCCTACACGGAAAAAAAGGTTTGGTTGAATTAATCAAATATCTGGTCGAATATGAACGATCCAGAAATTCTAATTGAAGTAATTCCAATTGAATTCTGTTTAAGTTAACAAGATTTTTGGTTGACTAACCAAACATGTCTAATTATTTACCAGACATGTTTGGTTACTAAACCAAAAATCTTATTAACTTAAACAGAATTCGGATTCTGTTGGAATTCTGGTTCTTGACTTCAATTGGAATTTCTGGGTCGTTCATATTCGATATTTGGTTAATTCAACCAAATCTTTTTTTTCGTGTAGTATATATAGCGCACACGGAAAAAAAAGATTTGCTAATATATATATTAGCAAATCTTTTAGTTATCACAACTAAATAACTTTTACTATAAAAGTAAGAAAATTTGCTCCTGTAGTTAATATTTTTAGTTGTTCATATATTAGTAAATCTTTTTTTTCTGTACAGGAGATAAACAAAAACCAAATGTAAAATATGTATAGTCCTGATTAGTAGTCTCTGTAAGAGGCCTCCGCAGTTCTTCTGCCAGCTCTTAATTATAAACAAATTTTACCTCTTCTGCCCATATGCTTGATTTCATTCATTTTATAAATAAAAATTGTTTTATTATTTGAAACAGTAATGTCACAGACTCGCAAGAAACTGCATTCTAGCTAGTAAAGTGTTGTTTAACTTTATTCATTCCTGATGGAGAATATTATTATCGATTTCGAATATTAATATCAATTTCGAGAGATTCGAAAATTTACTTTGCTGCTACTAAATTAGTTTTTTCTATTTTTTAATTATGATATTATCCCGATCTTAATGAAACTCAGAGAAAAGTATTAGTGTTTCAAAAGAATCATTTCGCGATTTTATATCCACTATTTCTCTCAAAATAAATACTAAAAAAAAACACATAAGCGACATACCTGGAGTCATTTAGACTCTATTTCTCCCTTATTCTCTTTATTTAGTCCCAGTCTTCCTTATTTATTTCATGAAGAAGTGTGAATATTATTTCTGACACTCGCGAACTCTGTGTCTGATTGATTATCACGGATATTAAAATAAAGTGACCTCGATCGCCACTAGACGAACCTTGAAGAAATTCATTCCGATATTGATTCACAACGAGTTATTGAGCGGTGTCCTTCTAATTCGCCGTAATCTCCTCCAATAGATCTGGTGCTGATAACTACGGACCTCCCAACCCTACTCTGCATAGCATCGGGGATAGCCATCTTCACGGCGATGATATGCTTCGTGCTCAAACTATTCAGCCGGGCGAGGTATTCAAGGCCGCGGCATTACGCCAACGCAAACCATGCGCCACCAATGCTGTTTTCCAGCGATACGGGTAAGTAACGACCGGTTAATTTACAAACTTAGAGAACTTGGAAACATAGTACACACAGAGAGAATTTTATAGTAAAAACTACTATATATAGAATTTTATAACTGAAAAATAGATCGGCATTCTGCAGTAATTCACTGTCCTTTCATGTCATATGTGTTTATTTATATTTTAGAAATTGAAATTTATACTATGCAAATACTCATTAGGACCTTATACAAGGTCCCTTATATAAGGGAAATAAATCTTACTAACAATCTATCTTTAGACCTCTAAAAACATAGTAAAATTGAAAAGAATTTATATGAACAAAAGAAACTATAATATTCTATGTATTATAAAAATATCAATTATACAGACACAAGTCGATTTTATTTTCGCGCGTGCTTTTTTACCGATGAACTATTTTCACTGTACAAGTAGATTTATAGAAGTAAAATTGAAGACACCTTCCAAAGAAGTGGTATAATTCTCACTTTTTAAAATAAAGAAAAATGACGTTTCTAAGGAGCGTATGTCATGATTAATGTCTAACAGCACCCGACTCGTTTCTTTGAATTTTGAGAGATAGACTACCCTTACGGACATATTTTTATAATTGAACTTGGTGTAATGTTTTTCTATCTTCTCTCATTTACACTGAAAACATTTATCTTAGTTTAAAGAAATTAGCAACGCTTTTTATGAGACTGTAAATTAATACTATATTGTTGATATAACTTGCAAACTGACAATCTAATTTAATCAAACACAAAAACAATACGTTAGAATTTACTGCAATTTTATTAAAAAAAGAATAAAACGTTCTACTTAATTTGCATAATTTTCCTAATTTTGCTGCACTACTTGCTATATTTTTGCATTAGATATGCACGTTGAGCTTTAATTTCTGTTTGCAATGATCCTTCCTTTTCGTAGAAAATCTACTTTCACATCTATGAAATCGATGAAGCGTATCTCTATGTCAAAAAGATGCATAGTATATTTCAAAGATATCTATTCTCGTTTTACTTTACGTTTTACGTTTTGCTCTCAGCGTCACGCGTCGGACTATTTGAAAATCATATTGTCAATAACGTTTAGTTGCAAACTGATAAAAGTATATTTCCAAAGAATATAAAGCTACACCGAAAAATGAAATAATCTTCCTCGTCATTTAACAATACTCTAAAAGATAAAAGAACTAATCGATTTAGTTTTCACGGGAGAATTATATCACAACGATATATGACAGTTTTACTGAAAAAAGTGTTTTCAAGAGAAAACTCTTAACGAGCCTTCCTGTGCATTTAATTTCATTCTTAATGAGATTGTTTGAAATTGTATTATTTGCTATCTGTTATCGGGAAGAGAGAAACGTTGAAGTTAAATTACGTTGAAGTTATTTACGATATCCTACCCTATCGGTATATCCGCAATATCACGTCACAGTGTCAGACGGCACCGGGAATATCTCGCCTAAAACCTTAGCCGAACGGCATCAGCTTGCAAGGGATCTCATTCGAAAGGTCACACGGAAAGTATCCGTCATGTCCGAGAACACGAAAAGAGATTGAAAGCCAAAGTAGCTATAAGATCTTGTTATACAAAAGCCGTATATTCCCATACGGAAATAACTCTCCAGAAATAATTTCGCAGGCATTCCACTGACGCTGCACGGACGACCGTCCTCACGATCGAGCGAGCGGAGCGGCAGCGCCGGGCCTCTTAGTTGCGCGTTCACCAGGAGGCCCAGCAGTGGTGGTAGCCGCGGACCCCTGGTACCAGCGTCCCGAGCAGGTGCAGCACGAGCCGCAGCCATCTTGCTTATATCGTGTCACCTGCAAGCGACCAAAGGCGGAAACAAGCACCGACGTACCCTTAGTGACGTAGCCGAGGGATCGTCCGACGGCCTCGGTAGACGATCAACGATCTCTTTCTGCCTCTGTCACTCCCTCAGTGTGTCTCGTGTCCTCCCGTATACATATAATGTACTCCACTTCCTCTACTCTCTCTCTCTCTCTCTCTCTCTTTCTCTTTCTCTTTCTTTCTCCTCTCTCCTCCTTTGACGTTTGCTCATGACGTTCTTCCTGTTTGCTTGTCGACCCACGCGTCTCGACATCGCGTCGGGTGCTGTGTTCGTGCTCGGTACGATGACGACGCGAGTCGAATATGTAAACATGAAACAGCTCGAGCATAGGAATATCCATCTGCTCCTCGTCGGTTTGACGGGGATATTGTCGTCGGCATCATTCGATCGCTGTGTTCATTCATACAAATGTGTTTTGCTCTGACAGTGACAAATTCATGTGTTTACCTCCCGTTCCTTCGTCGTGGCTATGTGTGACTATTTGTTTCTAGCTCTGTCTTCGTACTCTTCTTCGTGTATCTCTTACATCTTCTCTATGTTCGTCAACGCAATCCGCTTCTTGTGCTGACAACGGTGGTAACGATGAAAGGGTAGCCAGTTATGATGATGATGACTGACGATGGCTGCAGTAACGACGATGCTTCGTAATGGTTCGTATCGTTGTTACTGTCGTTACTGCATCATCAACTGGCTGTTGCCGATAACTATCTGAAATGTCCGCGTATCTGGCTGTTTCAACTGAGTACTCAACCTTCGATGATTTCGTTTATATGTGTTTATAACGTTTCATTCGGTAAACAAATGTGCTACTCGTTCCACTATTCCTACGTATATGATGCTGTTCAAAGAAGAAGTAGCTTTTGATGCAATTGCTCCTTGTTCCTCGTTCTTAATCATTCTGATTTTTTTAAATAATACTTAGTTCTTATATTCTTGCTATAAATGAAGAACCAGTCATTGTCACGATACATCATCGTAACATAATTATTATTTTCTGTTTCGCGTCATTTCTATAGTTGTCAATTGTACATGTGCACAATTGGATGTATTGATAGATTTCGGTACATTTACACTCAACTGTCAAATTTTTCCGTAACACTTATTAACGCTTCTGAAAAGCATATTATATCGCCAATATTGTGATTCAATTACTTTATTTTACGAAAGGAGAAAAACGTCGATAAATCGCATGTTATAAAGTCTCTTGGGGAATGTAGGCGCACCGGGCTGCTTTAATGCATCCAATTGTACGTCCAAGTTACAATTCACGAAGCATTCTTCCCCCCTTAAGCTGAGAAACTAAGAAACCCGGGCAACTTCCTTAGCCACCATTGTCTCGAGTAAGACAATTAATAAACAGTTGTATACCATACAATAACTCGAAAAGCCGCATATCAGCAGTAGACCTACAATACATTTGTAAGCAAACATGACATTGCAAGTAAAATAACGCAGCACAAGTGTGTTACGAGATAGCAAGATGGCAGCGGCCGATTTCGTTGCTCGTTCACGAAACGAATTTTTTCTGGTAAGACAGGTAGAGAGAGACACACACACACGAAATCTTTGCGCACTAGTCAGCTCGCTGCACACATACACACACACGTACACACATATACACATAACGATATAAATTTATAAAATCGCATGAATATACGGGACCAGTTTCTCGGTGAGGATCCCATAAAACTGCCATTAATCTACACTATAAAATTAATATTGATGAAGAAACACATGAGATAAGAAGATATATTCTTGATTTTCTTGCCGGGAAAGCTGTAGCCCTTCACATAACACCAAAATAATATAGATACGATATTTCTTAGAATAGCTTGCTTCGCTAGCTTACGTATTTTACTACGTCAGAAAATATTTGCTTCTCAGATTTGTATAACGTATCATTAGTATAGAAACGCGCCTGAGGATATGCATTCCGATAAAATTTCACAAACAACTTCTGAGCAAGTTATATATTTACAGGCGTTTCACAGCACCGATCCAGAGTATCGATCAAACCTACCCATACATATATATACATATATACACCGCAAAATAATTATTTTTTTAAATGGCATTTTCCTCAAATTTCAACGCAATGTAACGTTTATGGTACGCAAAATTATTTGCAAAATTATTTAATACGTAAATAATTCCGTTGCAATATTCTGGCAGTTTACATTTCGTCACTTAGACAATTCTATTTGTCGCACAAACATGATAGTACTTTCCTTTAATCATCTCTCGATTTACCATTCACAAGTCATTTTCTTTCATGTCCCTAAATATATCACAAAATTTGATAGTTGGATCTCCTTCAATATAAGTTGGATAGTGTTTCCTTGAATAAATTTAGCATGTTTCCGCAAACGTCAATTTTCAATCATCTTCTAAGGTATTCTTTCTATCTCGGAAACAAAAGATATTTAACAGCTGATTTTTATTTCGCCATTACCTTTTTACGACTTTTTACGTTCATTACGGATTCACTGGTATTCCTGCTATCATTTTCGTACGTTTACACTTTATCTCCCTTATCCAATTTATAGCACGACACTTTCTCTTCTAAGCTTCCACTCCCACCGCTTCGTCGAATATTAATCGCGCCGATGAAGGTATCGCAAAAATATATATTATAGTCGCATTTAGCAATTACAGCCATATCATTAGTAACGCAAATGCAGTAGATTCTTTCTGCCTTTCGACGTTATATTCTTTCTAGCGTAGAAGAGATTAGTGTATAGCCTTATTGAAAAATATACTCAGACTTCACGATATGTCTATTCTCTTTATATAGGTTCCCGCCGTCCTAGTTTAGCGTCGGTTCACAGTTCAACGTCCTCATCCCGTAGCTACAGCGCGCGTCGACTCGAGAAAGAAAGGAATGATAAGGAGCAGCGCCAGGCGCTTCAAGATCTTCGACTGTCGAAACAGCGGGAACAAGTGCAGCAACAGCAGCAACAGGTGATGCCGACACCCAGCCCTAGGACTCCTCATTCTACGGACGAATTGCTGCCTTCAGTCGAAGAAGGGAAGGAAGTCTTTTACAACGAGGTAAGTCGGAACGACGTCTGCGATAATCTGTCATCGTCGGTCACAATAGTTGTTAATTACGGTCATAAGCTGATCTGTCAAAAATTAATATAACTTTACTTATTAATATTATTTTACATGTGACTAATCACAACACGTATCATAATTGCTCGGCAAAAGTTGCATCTAAAATTTTCGATTGTCAGTATATTTGATATCGAATATAACGTTACTTGTAAAATTTTATATAATATGTATATATATATATATATATATATATATATATATGTGTGTGTGTATGTATAAAGCTAATTTTTCAATGAAAATTTTATATAATGTTACATGATCTTTTATATCTGAAATTTGGCGTATCAAAAATGAAATACGTGGGTTAACATTTAGTATAAATACACAAACCACAAAGTTATATAAAATAAGTAACTTTTTCATATTAATTCATTTTAATGTTTTCATATTAACTTATCAATCTCTATATATTTGTAAAGCAAATATTGATTTGATTTGCAGCAAGTACCGACGACGTCAGATGTATCAGAGACCGCACCAATGACGACGATGACGACAATGACGATAACGACGACAATTACGACGGCGATAACTACTTCTAACGCGATCCCAACCCGAATAGGCGACATTCCGCCAATGACAACGCCGACGACGTCCATCTTCGACACGAGCGTTGCGCCACGGGCTTCCGATGACATTTTTCAAGTATAGTCGGCGGACTCGCACGGTTTATTGATAACCTTTTTATTGTATTTGCAAGTATCAATCAACAGTGGCATCAACACTACGCTACGGCATTGACATGGAGATGCGCGTACGTTAAGAAATGCGAAAACACATTTGCGGAAAGATACGCGTTAGTATAAGTAGGTGCAAGAGTAAGTTAATCAGTACTGTGTCCACGTTAAAAAGTTAACATTTTTTATATATTTTATATGATGTATGTGACATATAATCCGATTACGTCCACGGTGACTTCCTCCCTAAGCAACGATTATATGAAATATCGATTTTTGCAACTTCAATTATTAAAATATTTGCAATCTTTTGCGAAATATCTGTGTACATGCTTTTCGAATTATATGTTCGTTCCTTTTAATTAAACTATTTTTTTAATTTTTGAACGTAGTAATCGGAATAACATTAAACAAACATCTGACAACTGAGTCTGCATAATTTAATCTATAATCACAGAATTTTTAATTTGACTTCCTTTAACACGCTACGTTACATCGCGAAATCGATTTCACAATTGACTTTATAATGTGGACAAAGTAGAATTGCAAATGCAAACGGCACCTTCTAATTGAACATGCTTGGGCACAAGTGTACTTAAACGAGTAAGAGGGTGATGACGTACTAAAACATATTTTTACTCGATTACCTGCGCAGGCAGGTAAATAATTATGAATGCAACAGGACATTTGAAGAAGAACAAGAGCTAATAAAATAATTGCAATGAGATAAAGCGACGGATATTCTTTTTGAATGTCTCAGTAGTAATACGAGCGAAGATACTCGTAGGTATATCCGATCGGAAATGCTTATAACTATGTCTGAGTGTGAGAAAGATGCATTTACGCTTAGCCACTTAATATGCTAAACCAATATTCGAAACCGACAACAGGATATTCCAGAAGTACAATAAAATTGGGAAAGTGGAAAGAGGAATATAGCGTTTCAATGCTTTGAAGTCGATGAATCGGACTTATGTTAGTTCGAATATCAGATATGAGTTCTATAAAATAGAGATATTTTTCATGATAACATATGAAGATCGTAATTAACTAGATCGATTAACTAAGTACCTTCGGTATCGGAAAATTTCGAATAGTACAAACTTGGAATTTTATGAAATTCGGTCAAAAGTTATTTTTAAAGATCAATTATATATCGAAATGAAGAGACAAAATAATATATCAACTAACGACCGATGAAAACGTTTTTCAGTCGGTTATGTGCTCAGTTGCAAAACAGTTTACACATTTTTATTTTTCCCAATAAAGTTGTGACACTCCGGGTTATTACAATTGAGAGGCACGTTTACGTAGTAATCGGTTTTAACGGGAGCTGAAATAATGGTATACGATGTCAACCTTTTATTATACTCTTATTTGACAGATAAGAATGTAATAAAGGTACTTACGTTTCTCCTGAATCTTTAATTGCAATTATGATATTGGATATCTCATATATATTGTCACTTTGCTTCCCGTCATAACCAATTACTGTGCAAACGCGTCAGTAATGTCTCTCAATTGTGATAACTTAATGTGTTGCAACTTTGTTGAAAAAAAAAGTGTGCAAACTTTTTTACCACCGAGCATACGTATATATATTTCCATTAAAATAATTTTATATAATTTACATATCAGAATGTGTCATAATTATGATATATCAAAGAACATCTGTATTTGATGAAAGCATTGATTCGCCGAAAAAACAATGTCATTCAAAAAAAAAAAATCCTATAAAACTTCATATAATTCCCCAGCAAAACCAAGTAACAATTATATAACTGTTAATTATAATTTCCCAGTCAAAAATATAATGCACGCGTTATATAACAATTATATAACAGTTATATTGTTGAGTGGGAAATTATAACAATTATATGACTGTTATTTGATGTTTGCTGGGTTCTTCACGATATGAAAATATAATCGTACTCGATTCAAGATACAAGAACGTTTATTCAACTGTATTGAGATGAATTATCATTATGTGAGAGACTCGATTGAGAAAGAGAGAGAAAATTTCGATATCATACATGTTCAATGATTGTGTGTAATTGTTGTATGATTATTTGTTTAAGTCAGATCATATGTAAACTCGTGAAATCGTTTGTCGAAGTATAACTGCGTATCAACAAGCCACAAAGCGCTATTTCGTTCGATTTCGATCGAATAAAGTCGAATTATATTATAAGTTCTTAGTAAATCGTCATATTAAATTTTTCATTCCACTGAAAAAAATTATGGTTTGACAGAGAAGCTAGTTAAAAGAACAATCTCGATCTCAGAGATCGAGACTAAATATACTTCTGCCCATATATAAGCGATAAAAATTATGCACTAATTTTCTGTCATGTAAATGGATAATGTGATTGTAAGAACTACAAGAAACACACTTTACTGCTGCTATTGCAGTTCAGTTGTATCGCTTTCCTACGGATGGAATAGCATTTACAATATTGGGCGAAGACTTTTACCTTTCAATACGAACTTTCCGTTAACTCGTTTTTAGATATACGACCAAAAAGAGTGACTTATTCATCAAATATGAATACATACGCGCATGACGCGGTATACACAGGCTTCGTTTATATCTTTAGATAACTAACAGCGAAATGAATATGTGGTAGATATATCGTAGTGCATTTGTTGAAATTAATCTACTACTAATTATTCTTTGCTACGTAGCAATGTACACTATCGATTATCATGTAAAAACGAAACTCAAAATCCGATTATTTAAATGAATTTCCTTAATCGTTGCTTAAATATTAACTGAATTATTTAACTCATACGCACAACATGCGTCGTATTTTCATATTCAAATGACAAAAGGATCTCATCGTCAAGATGTCTCGTCTGCATCATACAAAAAAAGAAAAAAACGAAAAAAGGACACGATAAAGTTACTCTATTACGTGAGCGTTATTTTCCACAATTTGCGCGTTTGCAAACATTAATCATCGCGTTCCGGAACTGCGTCACGAGCCTTCAAAGTATAACCCGTGGCCACAAGCTAGATTCGCAAGTGTAAAACGTAGCAACACAAGTCGTTAAGGAGAGTTATTACACGGACGGTACGATCATAAATTGAAGATCGACAGATTGAGGTGTCAGACAATGAGAAAGAGAGAAAAGGATGACGTAAATATATCGTATTATTATAACAAAGCGACGTATATCGACATTCTCGTGTTCGGATAATTTACGCTGCCTTTCCCGAGTAAATAATTAGAAAAAGAGAAAAGAACGATGAGCGTTAAACTCCAAGAAGTTCTTACACTTACGACAGCTGTAATAGCGTGAACGCGCTGCATAGCATACGTACTTACATGCAGATTCACGTACACTTGACACAGATGTAAAATATGTACGTGTTCGGCAACGATCGCACCTGGTTATTAGGCTCGATCGTAGTCGATCGGTCTACTATTATTATTATTATTATTATTGAGATAAATGAAGAGGAATATAGAGATGAATATAGAGGAGTTATATCACACAAATCCCCAACAGACAGACAAATAACAAACAAATACACACACACACACATGCATATACACCTCATTCTCCCCCTGAAATACTAAACTCGACTTGCCGCCTGATTTATAAAAAAAAAGTCGATGTACAACGTTATCGTTTTATCCCGATTTTAAATGTTTACTGTACCATACGATTGTAATATAGTCGTTGGGCCAAATAAAGCTCGTTTTTCGATATAAGTATACACAGCTGTGTAAAAATCGCTCTTTCTTTTTATATTTTATTTAACAGCGGAAGTTAATTTTAACTCATGTAATAAAAATGCGGGGGAGGGGGAGGGATTTCAGAAACTCGACAATGATCCACAAGTCAAAATTAATAAATTAATCATAAAATTATTTCTATAATATCTCAAGAAAAGTGAAATGTAATAAAAAAATTGTAAAAATCATAGACTTAACTAATAAATTAATATTTAATAAATACATTTCTGTGAGATTTAACGCGTGATAATTTCATAATTAATTATTAATATGATTTGTAGTATACAGCTACTACGTATCAACTGTAGCCTAAATATTATGTCTAAAATGCCGCTTGGAAAAAAGATTTTCAAGAAGTTAACGTTTCCATTATTCAAAACTTTGTGCATTATTAACCGCGCGGGTGTTCCTCTTTTTGCGCGCTTGAATCGATTTAATTTACTAAAACCGTGTTAGGAGGCTACAGCTAGCAGCAAGCAATGTATGAGCTTCGTTAATTTTGCACTAGCAATACATCAGGTTTTTTTATCCTACCTTCATACCTAGAATCGCACGGAAGAGCAAACTATGCTCGACAAAGAGTTCTGTGTTGCCTTTAGAAAAGCCTCAACGCTCACCGCTATTCTCTGGAAAAATTCCCACTTCAAATGGCCCTGATTTAACTATTCGCAAATATACTTGCTCGATATCACAATTAATACGGAAACTCGAGGCAACAATGGAGGAAGAAATTAATGTACAAGTGGAAGATAACTCGCCCTCGATCGAGTATATCTTGCGCCCAATAACGTACGTTTCCTGGTTTTTGGGTGTTGGCGTTGCACGGCCGCGAAAGTGCCCCAAAGCTATTACGATAGTCCTACGTGTCATTCATTTCGGAGTTTGTTCAGTGATCGTCGCGTACGGTGCGATAGATTTCTTCACTTTCGGTAGTGTCTTCAAGAGCGACATATTCAAGATCATGTACTACATGAACAAGGTAGTGTGCTACGTGTCGGCGTATTACTACGTGTACCATGGCATCCGGCACTACGACAAGTGGCCGGAGCTAATGAGCAAAATAAAGGCCCTTGATCAAAAGATCAGAAAGGAGACACTCGTGAACGATCGATCTATAAGAAATGCCGAAATGCTAGCTATTCTCGCAACATCGGCTCTTGGCCCCTTGTCCATGATTATACACGCTCTGTATTATTACTTCACACTTCCCGAAGATATCTTCGCGTCCGACTTGCTGCTTTACTATACAATCGCTCAATCGTTGATCAATAGCTTCGTTTTCGACGTTGTCGTCTATGTTCTCTACCACAGATTTCGTACAATAAATGAGTTGATCGAGCAGTTGGACGAACGACTAGATACGTCGTGGATCGCGATCAAGATCAGACGTATCAGAGAATTGCACACCGGTGAGTACAAGTATTTTATATATTTTCAATCGATTGCGATTTTACATCAGTATCACTTTACCATTTAATATCACGATTTAATAATATATATGTATATTATCACATTCATATAAAATTTAAAATTTAATTTGAACATATATGTAACTTATAAAAGTTAAACATACAATCACTTTATAAATTTAACGATTGTACAATTGTATCGCCTGTTTGCGATAATTATACTAATATAAAGCAAGTCTTGCAATCACAATTTTTTTCTATTAATAGGAATTTATGATCTAGTTATCATGATAAACGAGATTCACGGTTTTCATCTTCTCCTTTGTTCGGCGAACTGCTTTACCATGGTCGTAGCTACGTTATTTAGGATCTACATGGGTGTTGTCGAGAAGAATTACGGATTTATGCTAATAAATAATATCCTTTGGGTCTTATACGCCGCAAAGTTTGGCATAATGTGTTGGATCTGTACACTCGCATCCCAAGAATCTTACAGAACCGGAATAATTATATACGCAGTCGTACTGAATTGCAAATCGTATCTCAAAAAGACGAGCGGCGTAAGCTGTAATCAACCAAGTCTAGAAGTACCGAGACCATTCGAAAGACAGGATAGCGAACGAAATTCTAATCAGAATAGCACTTACAATCTAAACTACATCGTCATGGAGAGCCTTCTGCGCAAAAATTTAGATCGTGACTGCGTAAGAAACGAGGTCAACGATTTTTCAATGCAACTACAACAGCAACGAGTGGCATTTACAGCTTGCGATTTTTTTGAAATGAACAATGCTTTGCTTAGTGGCGTGAGTATGCAATTATTTGTGAGATAATGATAGCAATGTAGTAAAATAAACCTCTTTTCAGTTCGTCGGTGTGATCACCACATACTTAATAATCCTCGTTCAATTTTATCGACCAGAAAATTGAAGTAAAATAATTCTGTAGATAATACGAGGTAGAAAGATGATTATAGATTAAGCAAGAACACGCGCAACAATTAGGTGTTGCAAACACTTACGGTTGCGAACACTACAATTATATAATTATAAATATTTATTATAACAAATTAATATAATACGATGACATTAACAACACATGGATAGACTTCAGAAAATAAAAAAAAACAAGATGTTTTTACATGAAGTGAATTAAAATGAGTATGTGAAAATTAAGTAACAATGCAGCCTGCGTAAAGTAAAAACGATTTTTGGCGTTGTCCAAACTATGTGAAAAGAATGATTTAGTCGACTTCTTCGATGGTTGGTCCGGCACCACCGGCACCAGCACCACCAGAATTAGGTGCTGCTCCACCAGCGCCCGAAAAACCGCCGGGCGCTCCTTGATAAAGCTTTGTAACGATAGGATTGCAAATAGCCTCTAGTTCCTTCTGCTTGTCGAGGAATTCGTCCTTCTCCGCTAATTGATTGGAGTCCAACCACGAGATGACTTCGTTGCATTTAGAAATGACTCTCTCTTTATCGGACGCGTCGATTTTATCCTTGACTTTGTCATCTTCCATCGTGCTCTTCATGTTGAAACAATACGACTCGAGAGAGTTCTTAGCGGAGATTCTTTCTCTCTGCTGCTCGTCTTCCGATCGATACGTTTCAGCCTCATTTACCATCCTTTCGATATCCTCTTTCGATAAGCGACCTTTGTCGTTGGTAATTGTGATCTTATTTTCTTTACCCGTAGACTTCTCAATTGCGGAAACATTCAGAATACCTAAAAACACAAGTTACAAAAAGATAAATTATAGAAGATATTGACCAAGCAATAACAATCTTAATTAAAAAATCAAATATGTACTTGTATATGTATGCCTAGAAATAAATTATATACATATGTGAAATATGTTAAACATACCATTGGCATCGATATCAAAAGTAACTTCGATCTGAGGTACGCCTCTAGGCGCGGGTGGAATTCCCGTAAGCTCAAATTTGCCAAGAATGTTATTATCTTTAGTCATCGCTCTCTCTCCTTCGTAGACTTGAATAAGTACTCCCGGTTGATTGTCTGAGTACGTGGTAAACGTTTGAGTCTGCTTCGTAGGTATCGTAGTATTCCTCTTGATTAAAGTGGTCATGACACCGCCAGCGGTCTCAATACCCAATGACAATGGAGTCACGTCCAACAAAAGCAGATCTTGTACCTCCTCAGACTTATCACCATGCAGGATAGCCGCTTGAACCGCTGCACCATAAGCGACGGCCTCGTCCGGATTGATAGATTTATTCAATTCCTTGCCGTTGAAGAAGTCCTGTAGCAACTTCTGAATCTTTGGTATCCTGGTGGAGCCACCGACTAGAACTATGCTATGAACTTGAGCTTTGTCCATTTTTGCGTCTCTCAATGCCTTCTCCACCGGTTCGAGAGTACTCCTGAACATATCGGCGCAAAGTTCCTCGAACCTAGCTCTTGTGATTGACGTATAAAAGTCAATGCCCTCGAATAACGAGTCAATCTCGATACTCGCTTGTGTCGATGAGCTCAGTGTTCTTTTCGCTCTTTCGCAAGCCGTCCTTAGACGTCTCAAAGCTCTTTTGTTGGAACTCAGATCCTTCTTATACTTCCTCTTAAACTCCTGAACGAAATGGTTGACCATCCGATTGTCGAAGTCTTCGCCACCAAGATGAGTGTCGCCGGCTGTGGATTTCACCTCAAAGATACCGTCCTCAATTGTCAAGATTGACACATCGAAGGTACCGCCACCCAGATCAAAGATCAGGACATTCTTCTCGCCCGATGTTTTCTTATCAAGGCCGTATGCTATCGCAGCTGCCGTGGGCTCGTTTATTATCCTGAGAACGTTCAGACCAGCAATAACGCCGGCGTCCTTTGTCGCTTGCCTCTGAGAGTCATTAAAGTAAGCCGGTACAGTGATAACGGCGTCTGAGACAGTCTTGCCCAAGTATGCCTCAGCTGTCTCCTTCATCTTCGTTAATACCATGGAAGATACCTCCTCGGGGAAAAAGGTTTTCGTCTCACCCTTGTAAGATACCTTGATCTTTGGTTTACCACCCTGATTGACCACTGTGAAGGGCCAATGCTTCATGTCGCTCTGTACTGTTGCATCTTCGAATCGACGACCGATCAAACGTTTTGCGTCTTCAAAGAAATAAGAATTACCAAAAATTAAAATCTGTTTCTCTCTTCAAAATCTATGTTCTAGGATGTATCGTGTAAGTGAACGAAGGTCCTTTGGAATTGTGGAATGGAATGGATTGTGAGTAGGATGATTGCAATGTGTTGAATTGCCGAGTCGCAAAGTAAAAATATTCAATACTTAATATTATCCTTGATACAGCTTTATAAAAAATTAAAATCATTTTATCTTTAAGAAAATTCTCAAGCAACTTATCGTAAATATCAATAATTGAAAAAATAAATTAGAAAGATTCATAGCAATTTTTGTCACCGTATATTAAACATAATACTCGCATTTGTATATCCGTTTGTTACATAATAAATATTAAACGTTTGGCATTATAGCGAAGGATATCGCTTACGTCATTTGATTCCAGGCCAACGACAACGACGTTTGGCGCTGGCGCAAATTAGAATTACGTAAAACTGTGACACGTAAGCGACGAAGGCCCAGCTACAATGTAAAGAATTATGATGGGCGCTCAAGGAGGACCGAGGGGAGAGACAGGAAAATGCATAGTCCATAAATGAATGCTATACAGGCGCACGCGCATTGTACAAGGTCACTAGTGCAGCAAGACGCAATCAAAGTACATGCAGTAGTAATACATATATAGTTTCAAGTTCAGCCACAAAACATTTCAGAGAAAATAAAAGATTTAATTTAAACGCGTCATCATTCTGTATCCTGTATTCTGTTCATCCAATATTTCAATATTGGACGCAGAGTGATGACACGTTTAAATTAAATATAATATTCCAATACTAAATGTATTGTTTAGTGATGCCACATTAAAATGTTTTAATAAAAATGAAGTTTGTCATTGCAAAATATGTTAAGACTATTTATACATGTTGCCAACTTTATCAATATAATTGAACATACAATTCAGCATGTAAAAGTTTATATTTCAAAATACAAAATACAAATTCAAAATAAGTAAAAGTTCAACATGTAAAAGTTTATATTTCAAAATACAAAATACAAATTCAAAATAAGTAAAAGTTCAACATGTAAAAGTTTATATTTCAAAATACAAAATACAAATTCAAAATAAGTAATTTAATTTTGACAGATATGTGTCCCCTTCCACCCCCAACAGAATCAACAATAATAAAAGCATAATTCTCAATTTATCCAATAGTCTTCAATCATAATAATTGAAAAATGATATTCAGATAGATTAAAGTAATAATATTATACAAATCAATAGAAACACAAGAAACATGAAACATGAAATGTTAATAAAGTTAGTAATTAATGTAAAGTAATTAATGTAAAGTGTTAGTAATTATTAGCAGGGAAATCTTCATTCCCTCCTTTCGTGTGTCTTTCATCCAATATCATGGTGAAAATTGCATTGTATGCATAGAACTTCACTCACCGAAGATGGTGTTGCTGGGATTCATAGCAACTTGATTCTTGGCCGCATCACCGATCAGCCTCTCGGTGTCGGTGAATGCAACATAGCTCGGTGTGGTCCGATTACCCTGATCATTGGCGATGATCTCAACTTTGCCGTGTTGGAAGACACCCACGCAGGAGTACGTGGTGCCCAAGTCGATTCCTACCGCTGGTGCTTTCGCCATTGTTATCTCTTTGTTCTGTCACAATCTCAATATATAGCCAGTCACTGAAAATCAACGATAATGCAACTTGAGACGCGTTTGTCGAACGACAGTATTGTTGTGTCTAAGATTTCCCGAGCAACCGTCTCAAGCAAGTTCGATCGACCTCGAGTGCTGCTTGATTCGTCGTGCTCAAAATAACACGACGCAATAAATATGTCGTTACGTTTCTTGAAAAGTTAACTAGTATTCTGAACCCTTCCGTTGATATTAACCTTTAGGCTGCCGGCATTTTTTTCATTAAAAAAAGTGGTTTTTTTTCTCAAAAATTTTTCCATATAAGTAACATACACATGGTGCAGAATTTTGAGATTCGTGCAAAGCTACAAAAGTGGCTTTCCCAGCAGTCTAAAGATTAATTATAGAGATATATATGTGGACACACGATATTAAAAATATAAATATAATAAAAAATATATGATAAAGTGAAAAATAAAATATTCGTGATATTGACATCGATAACCTCACACCGAATACTGCTGGTCTCGTTGATCATTCATCCACAGTAAGTTTATTACACAATTATTATTATACAATTAACTTTATTAAAACAGAAGTTCTCTGACGATATCAAAGCGATGAAAAATTTTAACATACGCAATATCGACAAAATGTCAGCAATAGTTATGGTCGTTTTTCGGAAAATAATCAACTCACGGTATTACGATACACAATTATTTCACGATGTAAAACTAATTCAAGATGACTACGTGAGTATAGATCAATTAACACTCACCTGGTATTAAATTATCTAATATTTCGGAGACTTGCAAGTTGACGCTATATGCACACTTCTCGTTTGTAACTCTTTGCGAGACTGACAACGGCAACTTCGTGTCGCGCTTTTAATACCGTAATCGCGCGCTTCGAGAAGCTTCCGAATGATGACCAATCACAGAAGCTTCTCACAGCCTCCATTGGACGCGTACAATAGAGAAGGAGAGACCGCAAATACGTCAGCGATACACAAAATAGAAAAAGAAAGAGAGAGGTGGACACGAACGTGAGAAAATTCGGGAACGTGTTGTACACTGAAGGAACTATAATTAGCCATGCGCAAGTAACATTTCATTTCGATGAGATATAGTAATGTAACAGCAAAATAAAAAACTTTGTTTAATAAAACATACGTTAATTAGATTTATGACGCAATTGTTCGAGAAATGGTAGAAGAGCGCGTAACAAGCGTATACGTCAGACCGATCACGCTTGCGCAGAAATGAGAAGAATCTCCAGTGTTCCAGAAAACGCGCGGCGACAGTCGAAATTTCACGAATTTTCTAGAACGTTACGGAATCAATTTCGAAACTTTTCTGGCCTTGCACGTCATACATACGTAACTCTGATCGAGAACAAGTTAATGTTTAAAATAGAAGTGACGTTCAATGACTCATGACTCATAAATGCAATTAATTCCGAAACAACCTCACTTCGCTATTCTAGTCACTTATTTTAATGATAAGTTTAATTCGCTTCTCGATGGTAGTCAAATAAAAAACTACTTGTGTGTACGTAGATAAAAAGTTAATTATTGTTGTTAACTCACCCAGCAGCTAATTATAGCTATTAGCACATTATAGCCTATAATGTGTTGCTCGCTCCTTTTGTCACTGCAACAACAAAGTTTTTAGACTATGGTGAATAAGACGTAATCCTTAAATAAAAGAGAATAATATTTATAAAGAATTTACAAAGAATCGAACAAAGAATACCAAATTTCCAAGCATTAATGGACAATCAGAATAGAATGTTTGTCATGGATTGCGAAACCATGTAATCTATTTCGAGATCGTTGTAAGATATTCCGAGCAATTCTAATTTAAGCAACAACGTTACTGAATGTACGGCAAAAATGGCCGTTGCGATACATAATACGCCTAAATTCTAGTTTACCGCCATCTAGACAAAATGTTTGTAAACTAATGAGCATAATAATACTGTTATTTAAATATTAGCGCCAAGTAACACAATAAATTCACAAAATATAATCTCAATAAATTTACTAAATATAAAGACAATTACTCTCTTGATTATATAATTAATTTATACGTGAAACCAAATTGTTTTGTCTAACTGTATGAATCAAATTACATAAACTCATCTGTCATAAACCAGCTAATAACAGGTGGCAGAGAAATACTCGCTTCCCATCTTTTATAGAATAATCGTTTATAAAAAAATAATTTTGAAACAACATGTGTACACCGGCGAAAATTAAAAAATTAGATGAAGTTGTGGTGAACAGAATTGCAGCTGGAGAAGTGATTCAAAGACCAGCAAATGCATTGAAAGAACTAATAGAAAATAGGTTAGTATTTAGTAAACAGATCGCTATTGTATATATTTGCAAACATACACAATTAATTAATCCACTGATGTTTCTTAGTTTAGATGCCAAAGCCACGAATATACAAATCACTGTAAAAGAAGGGGGTTTAAAATTATTACAGGTATATACTTAACCTAATAAATTTTTAATTATTGAAAATAATCATGTATAACAATTGTAAATGAATTTCAGATACAAGATAATGGCACTGGTATTCGAAAAGAGGACATGGACATTGTGTGTGAAAGATTCACAACAAGCAAACTGCAAAAATTTGAAGATCTTAATGCACTGACAACATTTGGATTCCGAGGTGAAGCTCTGGCTAGTATCAGCCATGTAGCTCTCCTCAGTATTATAACAAAGACAGCAGATGAAAAGTGTGCTTACAAGTATGCAATTTAATTGGCAAATAATAAGTTATGAAGAAAGCAACAATAAACATTAACTTCATAATTTTTCCTACAGACATTGTATTAATAATTACATGTAAATTGTATTTATATGTAAATTGTATTTGTTACATAATGTTACAGAGCATCATACCTTAATAGCAAGCTAAAGGCACTTCCAGTACCATGTGCTGGAAATCAAGGCACTATAATAACGATAGAAAATCTGTTTTATAATGTAGCAACTCGAAGGAAGGCTTTGTCGAGTTTATCAGAGGAATTTACTAAGATTACAGAAGTAGTTATGAAATATGCTATACATAATCCAACGGTAGGATTTACACTAAAGAAACATGGTGAAGCAAGTCCACAGGTAAGATGAATTAAATGTGCAATAATACATACAATATGTAACATTCAAATAAAATATGAAATAATATATAATTGTTATATTGTATTACCCAGATTCGAACACCTCATAATTCAACAAAGCAGAATAATATAAGAATATTGTATGGCAATCCAGTTGCTCGTGAACTGTTAGAGGTTGAGCTCAACGACGAAGCTTATAAATTCAAAATTCATGCTTTAGTGACAAACCCAAACTATACAAACAAACGGATGGTGATGCTTTTATTCATTAACAATCGTCTGGTCGATTCCTCTTGTAAGTCTGTTACATATACCAATAATCTCTCATCCCATTTCTTTTTTATAAAATTATATACATATATGTTTATACGTATATATTTGTTTTTCAGCCATTCGTAAAATGTTAGAAGAATTATATATCCTCTATCTCCCAAAAAAAGCCCACCCATGGTGTTATATATCTCTAGATATCAATCCACAAAACATTGATGTTAATGTACATCCAACGAAACACGAAGTTCGATTTCTTCATGAAGATACAATAATCGAAAGGATCAAATTCGCTTTAGACGAAAGATTGACTGGTAACAGTGCATCCAGAACATTTTATTTGCAAGCCAGGTTACCAAAGGCAGATATCACTAAAGATGTTTTAGAAGAAGTATTGCCGGAATATAACAAAGGAAATTCAGATAAATCAAAAAAGATTTACGCTAAAGAGATGATTAGAACAGATTCGTCGGATCAGAAACTAGACAAATTTAATTTCACCGTACATTCTGCTTTCAAACATGGAAAAAATGACGATAATTCTTTCATAGAAAAATCAACACATAATTTAGAACCTCTTAATTCTGAAGTTCCATCAAAAACTAATATACCTGACATGACCATGAAAGATTCATTTACTGATGATAAATGTCAAGAGAAAAAAGGTGAACCCAATCCAAATTTGACTATTGTAGAACAGAACTCTACATCATTACATGTTGAAGAGACTCCTATAACAGTTAATCCTGCTACAACAAATTGGAGTGACATAATAAATAATATAACTCAATCAGAAACGCAAAACACTTGCAATCCGACTATACAAAATGTCAAGTCAAAAGATATTTGTCCAGAAAATGCTATGGATACTTCAGAGATTTTATCTGATTTAGATGAAACAATGAATAATTCTGTGGAAGACAGATCTGTAGACACTATTGCTGACAAGGCTCGTAAGAAAATATACCAGTATTTTGGAAATATAAATATCGACGATAAAAAGAAAATCTCAGAAGAACAAGAAATGAAAGTTACAAAAGATACAGGTAATAATGAAAAAAAAGACGAAAATTCCGAATTTATCACTAACCAGTCTCAAGATCCTCTAACTGAGAAAAATACTTCCACTGATGAATCTGAAAAGTCTGAAAGACAATTTAACTCATATTCTGTAAATAGTTTTAGACACGAGGTAAAATTAACCAGTATTTTACAATTACGAAAAGAAATTGAAGATGAATGTCATGAGGGATTGAGAGAAATCTTGTCGAACTTAACATTTGTTGGATGCATTGATCAAACTTCAGCTCTAATACAAAGTGGAGTAAATTTATATATTTGTAATACCAGAAAATTAGCGTAAGTTTGCATTATCTTGAATCTCAACCCATGAAACCATGCATATGTATAAATTTATTTATATATGACTAATGTTTAAATGTAATATTTTTTCAGAGAAGAGCTGTTTTATGAAATTATGCTATATGACTTTGCGAATTTTGGCATCTTGAAATTCTCAGTATGTATCTCAAAGAAAAACATAAAAGTTCACTTCTGATTAACTACCATTGAAACTTTTTTTCTTTTTTAGGAGCGAATATCTTTGTTTGATTTAGCAATGATTGCTCTAGATTCAGGGGATACTGGATGGACAGAGGAAGACGGGCCGAAAGAGGAATTAGCAACAAGAGTAAAAGAATTACTTTTAGAGAAAGCAGATATGATGAACGAATATTTTTCGATTGTTATTGATAAAGTGGGAAACTTAAGGTCGTTACCTGTATTACTAGGTAAGTATAATTTAATATCAGATAGTTATATCAGATAGTTTGATTCCCAAGAGAACTAATTATATTTACAGTACTATAATATACTATACACTAAATATATATTGACATGCTATTCTGAAATAATGTTAACAATACTATTAAAATATATTAACAATATTATTATAGATAAATATTTTCCATGTGAAGCAGAGATTCCATTGTATATAATGCGATTAGCAACGGAAGTTAACTGGAAAAAAGAACAGTCATGTTTCCAAAATATTTGTAGAGAAACAGCAAAATTTTACAGCTACATCAGTCTGAAGCACAACACAAATGATTGGAAATATATAACCGAACATGTCTTATATCCTGCAATTAAAGAAAGTCTGCTTCCCCCTAAATACTTTGCTCACGATTCAACAATATTACAAATAGCTAGTTTACCCAATCTGTATAAAGTGTTTGAAAGATGTTAAAATATTACACTAAAAAAGTACAAAAATATATTATAATTTGCCATATATATATATATGTTTTATAAACTAATTTAAATTTACAGTTGTGTTTATGTATACCATGTGTATATTTATAATACATAAATTGTACAATTACAACATGATATTTTTATATCAGTTTTCATTAAATTTGTATCCAAGTATGTCAAAAATTAACTATGTGAGAAATATTTCCTCATTAATATAATAACACAAGAAATAAAAAGCGTATAATTTGCTAACCCTCATATACTTTATACTTTCATAAAATGAAAGTAAGTTTGTCTATATTTTAAATAAATTTAAAGGAAAATTCATATTTTATACACCAGTGTTCTATATTAGATTTTATATTATTTAACAATTTACATCAAATGAATGTCTTATCAATTTTTGTATTAAATAGTTATCCTTTAGCAACACCTACTAATGCAGGTCTTATTATTCTTTCGTGCAATTTGTATCCTATTTTTGATACAACTACAATTGTTCCAGCTTCTTTACCTTCAACCTCCTGAAAAATTATTTCATATTGATAACCATTGTGTATGTAAATAATTAATGAAAACATGTTCTATTTAAAATATAGATTTTACTTGTTGAAATAGTGCTTCATGTTGATTAGGATCAAATTTCTCATCAATTGGATTTAATGAAATTAAGCCATGCTTCTTGAACACCTAAAATATTACACAGAAACTTTAATATGATAATACTTCATTTATTGTGTATATATTTCTTATATAAAAAAAGAAATTATAAAAAAGAAATAAATTATCTTACTTTATGTAATTGTGCTTCTGTCATTATTAATCCTTCATATAAACTTTTCAAATGTGGATTTTTCTCTGTTATTTCATCCTTTGGTACACTTTCGGTAGCTTTTCCTAGTACATCAGCTACATCTAAAAGATCTTTGCAGAAACCTTGGATGCCAAAGAGTTTGGCATCATTGATCTGCTTAGTCAGTCTAACTCTGATATTTTCTCCTTCTGCCAATGCTCTTTTATATTTATCTTCAATCACATCCTTGGATTCTTTAAGTTCAGTAAGTTCTTTGTTGATGAGTTCCAAGTCTGTTTTTAGTTTCTTCTCACTTTCGGTGCATTCTTGTACCGGAGACTCTCCAGTATTTGGTTTTTTCTCTTCTGTTATTGTACTATAATATTGTCTTTTCCATGGAAAAACAAATGCTTGTGGCAATCTATAATATAACCAACATAATAGTATAAAAAATTTAATATAATCACACCATAAAAAATTGTCTATACCTTATGTTTTTCAACTACTTCAAATAAAAGAAAATAAAATACTATTATTTTTATATATATGTAAATTATATTTTGAATCAATCTTGATGTAACCTATTAAAAAGTAATTGCATAAAAGTACTTGCATAAATATCAGAACACAATATCTACTAAAATTGTACAGATACTATTAAAAAGAAATATAAGAGAATACATTCTTATTATACATCATCTTATCGAGTCATAAAATAATCACACAAGATTTAAAGAACAAATTTAATGAATCCAGTTTTTACTATAAGCAATTATACGAATGTTTAAAGATTAGCCAGGATTTTGACTTTTTAAAAAAAGTACCAAAATATCTTTTCAGATCAATTCATGAGAATTGTATTTTTATTATAAAAAATAAAAAATATATTTATCATTTGACGCGATTAACCTCAACATGCCAATTAGAGACATGCAGCTCCAAAACGTGTATTCGATTGCTGCTTCTACTAATAAAAAATAATGACTTACTTGTTTAAGCCACATTTATTTATTTGATATAAACTATCAATTGTCATACGACTAAACCGTAATGCTACCGGTATAGCAATCGTTGCCATGATTTACTTCGATTGACTCGCGGCTCAAGAAGATTCTGCAACGGCTGACGAAACAGCACGATCAACAACGATCATGAGTTTAGAAAGTGTAATAGCCGTATCATACTAGTGACTTGTGACTAGTGGTCTGTTCTTTCGCTCTGCAGTGCTGCACTGGTGCAATAAGTTAGAGTGAGACAAATATATATTTGTCTCACTCTAACTTATTGCACCAGTGCAGCACTGCAGGCGAAAGAACAGACCTTAGAGCTTTCAGTTTTGTTACATCATAACACGCTGGCAGCGCGGTGGGGGAACTCACACAAGCGAGTGCCCGTGTCCGTGAGCCTCATGGCACAGGCGCTCGTTTGTGTGAGTTCCCCCACCGCGCTGCCAGCGTGCTGCTGATGTAACAAAACTAAGAGCTCAGGATCCCTATTCTTGAAATTTTTGCGTATACGTAATTTTCATTGCGCAGCTATTTTATAGTATGATTAAACCTGCGCAGTAAAACTTACGTGTACGCAACTATTTCAAGAATAGGGGTCCTGCTCGCGACTGCGGCTGCGATTATGTCTCTTGACCAGTCAGAAAAAAGCTGCTAGCTACTATCGCTTTTCTCATTGGTTAAGAGACATAATCGCAGCCGCAATCGCAATCGCGAGTCGCTAGTGTGATACAGCTATAAGATGTGACATGCGATGTATGTGCATTCGTCCAAATAATGACTTTTCAACCAATCAGAAATCTGTACCAAATCAAATGTTAAAAAATTTTATCAAATATTAAGATAAAAGAAAGAATATTTAGGTTATATTATAAAACGCGTTTTTTTTAGGAGAATTGTACTCAATATCTACAGTTCACGTTACATATAAAATTTTCTTAAAAAGGATATTTCAAAATGCAACTTTAATATACATGTGCGCAGTCATTTCCCCTAAATATAGATTTGAATTCATTATGTTCATTTGTTTCGCGAAATAATTTGAAGCATATTTCAGTCACAAATAAGCAAAAAAAAGTAATGCAAAGTAGCTAAAAATATCAGAAGAATTTATTAAGATTATTATCAAGGCTTGCTACAATACACGCAGAGTAATTACATCCAAAAATTACGTTTCATGTATACAAATTTTTTGTTAACATCTTTTTAATTAACAAAGGGCGACAACTAAAACTTTTACATGTTAAGATTTATCAAATGAAAAGTTTCATTGATAAATTCAATAAAGAAATAGATATGTGATCGATTCAAAGACTAGTGCTACGACTTTAAAACGTAATGCGACTACATGTAGACAGTCCTTTATAAAGCAGCTTTTTCGGCTAAACAGATTGGCTTTTTCGTCAATCTGACTTATCAACTCGCGGTTGCATAACCGCGCGAAGCGGTTTCTTCGAATCGCCGTCGAGTGCGCTATTTACATATACAATACATCGTGCATGAGAAACGAGTACATATACCAGAGTTAGTAACACTGAACGCGCATTGTTTTGCGCTGTATATAATCGGGATACGTCACGGTGCATCGCAGTCGCGAATGTAGTCGCAAGTGTAGTTAAGTGAGATGCAACGCGAGACGAAGCGAGGCGACCATCCCGTTGTTTCGTCCACTTCATGACATGGAAGCTACGCCAGCGACATAACCGTGACAATGTACTGTACACTCGGGAGATGGTAAGAGATCCTGTTTGTTGTTTTTCTTCATAATCTACAGTATCACTCATTCTCTCCGCTTTTGCGATGAACGCGACCTTCTTTGACAAATCTCCCTCGACAGTTTTTGCAGGAAGGATGCGGTAAGACGCTTAAGCACCGGCGAAATCGCCACTGCGCTGAGGCCGTTTTATTTCACCGTTCACCCTGACCTGTTTGGTCAATATCCCACACAGAGAGTAAGCATATGTTCAATTGCGAAATGTTACTTTCAATCACGTATAGTGCTGACGTTCGAAATAGATATCGTTTCGGTATGACTGTCGCGCCTCGTTCGGCACTTCAGATGCAAGATCTATTTGCTTACATGCGCTTTCTACATTCCTTGCTTAAGTAAGAGAATCTTCCTCTCTCATCCAAAGTTCAATCAAAATCAAATCGAGATAGAAAAGGATAAGTCCGTTGTTTCTGATCGCGTTTTAGTTTCCTCCTTTGTTACGATGTGTTGTTTGTTTTTCTTTTCCCCACTTGCGATTTATTTTGCTTGTTTTATCTCGAGTGCGTGAGTGTACAAAGTGCACGTTGAATCATCGTCGTGCCGAATAAAACTACTAGCAGTTATTACGACCACGTACATGATTAGACATGCATAAAATTATTTTTAAATACGAAAAAACAATTAGGCGCGATGTAAACGTGCGAATTGCGTGAGTGTGTATTCGTGCATGGCTAGTTGAGTCGGAATAAATTTTCATTGCTACCACTTTAGCGTCAGATGTTCGCGTTGTTTATCAATGGTTGCGCGCATACAGGGCCGCACGAGACGCTACGGTAGCACGGAAACTTCACCAGTACTGGAATTCTGTAACTCGTTATTGGAGTTAATGACAGTTATCATTAACTCGATTTCGTTATCATTGCGCAGCTTTGTATACCGTAGAAAAGCTACGCAACGATAACGAAACTGTCGTTAACTCTAATAACAAGTTACAGAATTCCAGCACAGGCCTGTTCGTTTTCAAAGAACTGAACGCATTAATAAATGCAGTAAGTTAGAATGAAACAATTATATTTTAATTTATTCTAACTTATTGCATCAAGAACAGGCCGTATTAAACAGCTGTATTCATAATACGATTCTAATATTAAGCACGCCTCTCTGATTCTCAAATTAAACAACTTTAATGAGAATGCTTATATAAGAAACATAGAATAAAAAGGGCGTACTTAGCATTCGAATACGGCTAAATTTATCTTGCACGTTTTCGTACTGAAAGCATCATTCTATCTTCTTTCGGAATATAATGGACGATAAAGATAGAATGATGCTCTTAGCAATGCAAAACGAACTTAGCCTACGCGTTAAAAATATGATCTACATGCATAAGTCGAATCTGCTAAAGAGGAAACGCGCGGCCCTGCGCGCGAACGTGATTAACACGTGGATCAGTTTAAAGCTCGCGTGTACACCGCGTCATGTATGCCTTTAGTCTGAAAATTGACACTTCCGCATAAAAAGCAGATTATTAATTATTAATTGCGGGAACCAACGAAGTATTCTTTTCCTGCGAAAATTCTTGAAACAATAACTAATTTATTCTTTGTTTTTTATTGCATGCTTATAATTAAAAAAATTTTTTAATAGTTCTAATTGTTAATGTAAATAGAATAATTATTGTTTGACTTACGTTATTTAATTCATGTTATCATTTAATCCATGGTTTCTTTACAGACAGTAAATGAGAACTCTCTGAAACAATTAAGTTCAATCTTAGAAACACTTCAACAAAAACAACCCATACGGCCAACTATTTTGCCTTTTTATTTACGCTCAAAAGATGAGAAAGAAGTGAAGGCTGGTAAATTTACGCTTGTGAAGATACAATTGAAGGAAAGAGATCTGAGGCAAGCCATACTTTCTATCTTGAAAACATGTGACTTACCCACCACATTCATTGACAAGATCGAGGAGCAAAAGCCTCCAGTTACAAAGTACAAATCAAGATTCTGGCAACGTACACATTTTGGAGAAAGATTGGACTTTTCAGAATTGGAAGATGATCCTGTTTATGCTTCAATTATTATGAAACAGAAAATCAATATAGAACCAGACACGTTAAAGTGAGTATAATCCCAGTTAACATATTCAATTACTGATATATAATTTAGAAAATAAAAACATATATTTAACATATAGTTATATTAAAAACAGACACTTATTAGTAATTAAAAAATAAAAACAATATATAATGTAATATTATTTTACAGAAGATATATCTTGAATATATATGTATATAATCTTGTTTATACATATATAATTAGCAACAGGTTTTAATTTATTGTGAAAATGATAATATGATATATTTATAACATCCATAAATTATCAAGTCTTATATTTAATATGTATGTACCATTGCTAGTATTTTTGAGAATGGGTAAAATTATAACTATATATTACAGCAATCTTCACATTATATAATATGTGGTACTAAAATGTATATCTATTATATAGTAAACATATAACTATAGTGTTATTAATCGAACTGTGAATATATTAAAATATGTGTGATATCAAATATTGTTACTATGTGTCTAATTATAATCAGAGCATACTTGGACAAACACATAAACGAGGCGCACGTTAAACTGGAGGCATGTAGGCCAATGAGAGAAGAGGTAGAGAAACTACAAAAAGTGCTATGCAATGATTTGGGACTAAAGAATATCATCTGGGACTGTGGCTGGAATATTGCTCACTATCGTGGTTGTTTGCTAGCTTTCCAAGCCTTGGCCAAACATCACCCAGAACCAATGGAGGTGCTGAGAAATCGAACTCTCGTATTTGCAAACGATACCGGTATCAGTCTGGAAGGCAATGTTATGCTGAATTCCGGCGAAGTCAGACACAATTGGCTCGATGTAAGTTATACTAAATTGTTCCCTTTTTAACGATGCGAATTTTACTTACACATATTGAACTGTTTCGCCCGTTTTTTTCCGCAGCTGATAAAGAACGTAAGAAAGCACGACCTTGTGTTATTGAAATTACCAGGATTTGAAAAGGCAGTATCCCAAGTGCTCCTTGACATTAAAGTCGGTCGACGGTGCGTAAAACATCATATTATTTGAGTTATGGTAAGGCTCAGGGTACTCTATATGTGCAGGAAATTCATGCCTAAAGTAATGGTCGGCCAGTATGAGCAACAGCTCCGACAGCTTACGACTACACTCTCAGATTACCGTGGCAAGAGAAAGTATCCGAGTTCTTGGCCGGCCAGTTTATCGGCCTATGAGATTGTCATAGAAGCGTTAGTATCATTGTATCCTTGGTCGCTTTTGAATTTCGCCTATGCGTATGTGACGTCTCTAAACGAGTGTGTCTGATAATTTACTTACAGTGAAGCGGGTCCTCTGATGTTGTCGCCGACTGGACAATTTATTGTGCCATCGTCGTGTCCAAGCTTTCTCTTAGTGAACTTCATTACTGAGAATTTAGAGGAAGCCACGAAGAAATTACAGCATTATAATAAGTACGGCATTTCCTATGAAAAAAAACGATCATATACTTATCATTTATGTGTAAATATAAAGTATAGGTACACTGTCATTACTTACGTAATTGTTCCAGCATAAAACATGTTGAACGGGAGCTTCATCGTAAAACCATCAGAGAACTAGGTTTAGCTGCTCTCAATAAAGATGACAGCATTACGCCGGATCTAATGATACAATGTTGCGAGCGACTACTTCTGCACAAAAGGGAACTGACACCGTCCTTGGAAGGTGTTATGCTTTGGGTTACCCATTATTACTCAGTCATGAGCGACGGTGTTCTCTGCGTGCCATGGGACTGGAAATTTTAATTTTTTCAAAGAAAAAGAAATACATTAATAATGATTATAAAGCAATTAGAACATAAGATTATCGCCATGAATCGTGACAATGCAAATATTTTATAAGTTTCAATTTTCAAGATAACTATAAATGATATAGCAATTATAATTAATATATAGGCGTAGTGCAGTCTCTGCACAAAAACTGAAACGTGAGAACTGATAACACAATTACAGTCAAAGCATTAATCATTAAGGGTGGATTATTATCTGAATATGTATCATATATTGCAACACTTTTGTGCACAAATATGTTACACACAAAATTCATTACACATCTTGAGTTTGCTAATTTGTAATTATTAATATTTTCAATTTAAAGATAGTAAAAAACGAGTTTCTATGCGAACAATTCTTATGCGTAATTAAAATGAGAATATAAGAACTGATGTAACGACTATGTGATATGTTAAAAAGCAAAGTTACTAGTCTTAATACGATTTGCGTAAGTCTTAGTTCGCAGTACAACTCATAATACTTGATATTTTGCATAGAAGATCGTTATATGTGTATATTTTTATAATATTTAATCACACAAACCATATTGTTTATGATTATATCTGGCTCATGTGAAGATAAAATTATACATCAGCCATAATATATATGTAATTCTCACATTTTTCTGTTATTCTATAACAATTTTACAATAATTTGCATAATATGTATATAAGTTATTAAGATGACTAGATATCTCGTTTTTCCCGGAATAGTCCTGTTTTTTTAGTTTTTGTCTCGGATTCGACTAAGTTGTATTGTTTTTTATTTATTAATTCAGAAGTTTTTAAAATGCTTTTGAGAAAAGGAAAGAAAGACTTTAAGAAAATTAATAGTTCTAGTAAATATATAATAACTTTGCTTCTTTTTCTCTTAAATAAGAATAACAAAAATTTTATTTTAGCAAAGTGGAGTGTTGTCAAGTATGATGTTTTTTTTTTACTTTTTACTTCACACATTTATGAAGTGTCCCGAATTTGAAATTAGGAAATCTGGGTACCTATTATGGACTTCTTCGGAATCAATTCCGATCGGAATAATTCCGTTTCCCCTAGAAAAGACAATAGAAATCTAGGAAATAACTGAATGTTTCCGATCGGAATTGATTCCGAAGAAGTCCATAATAGGTACCCTGGTCATCTTGATATGAGTAAGTTGATACTATAAATTTTTTCATGGTATCGTAATCATATCACATGTGCATTTCCGTCAACAAACGGAAACGGCTCGCCTAGGCGCTGTATTCTAGAGATGCCCGATTCTGGGGTGCGTTCAGATTCCTCATCCGGGTGCACTCTATTACTAGAAACACTATAGTATATGTTACATATACTATAGCACTTTTAGTAATAAAATACACCCGGGTGGGGAATCTGAACGCAGCCTAGAATCGATTCGATTCTTTCCTCAAAAATAGGTTTATTTGTGTTGTTTGCATTCTTCGCACTTTTCGTATTTAAAACCAGACAAAAGTATATTGGAATGTATGGAAGAAGCAAAAGCAAGATAACTAACTCGATTATTTCTTCCAAGCGTCTGATTAGGTGTTCATCTCTTTTTAAAAGCGAAAAGTATGAAACATACAAGCAGCACGAACAACCCTTTTTCCCTAAATTTGTTAGGGAAAGAATCGAATCGATTAAGAATCGGGCATCTGTATTGTATTCCAATATTCACTGTCAGTACTGAAAATGTATAATTTATATCACGTATACTGTAGATATTCAGTACTCACAATGAATTTCGAAACGTAGCCCTAGACTGCGTTCCTTTTGGGCGCTCACGCGCTTTAAATGCTTATAAGCGTCACTCTATCTTTCTTCCGCATCTAATGAGCGGTAAAGATAGAATGGCGCTACAGCGCGTGAACGCCTAAAAGGAACGCAGTTTTAGGCTGAAGTCCCATGGCATGTATTTTCCGTGTACCGCGTAAACGCGTAACCAATAAATTGCGACGTTTAGTATTTCTGTTGGAACTTCTAAAAGAATAGAAGGATGTGATTAGTTATGTGGTTACACGAAAATATGTGCCATGGGATCCACCCTTAATCTAACCCGCAGCGATCACGTGACCATTGTGGCTGCGTAGCCGTCAAGCAGTGATGAATTTTTGCAAGATATGATTCGCGTATGCGTACAGAGCAAACGCTCGGAGTCTTCACTTACGTATATATTTTCGTCAAATCTAAGGTATCGTTAGGGCCCTGCGAGAAAGGAAATATGAAGGAATTAGCAGGAGAGAGGAAAATTGCTTTGATAGGAACAGAGTGCAAGTAATATGAATAATAATAAGTTTTAGATCGTTAACCACCTGTGGATCAGAATAAGTTTGTTTCAATAAAGGAACCATGTAATTTACTGTCTGAAAAGCATTACACTGGAGCGTAGCAAGAACTAGATTACAAACCGCGCAGAGAGCTTTTTCATTATTATCATGTGGCACTAACCAATCTTTAAAACTATTCACTCAGTACACGTTGACACTTGTTTATAATCACACACGGGAACAGTACAGGGGCCCCTTATAGCACCTACTACTATATCCTAGATACATTTCTGAACCCAGCTGATTTCTACCTATGACGTCAGCTTACGCATGCGCACGAAGCTTCCTGGGACGGCGAACATCTTGCAAAAATTCATCATTGCGTCAAGATTGTTATGACAGAGGCGTCAAAATTTTCGGTCTTGTCGTGAACTGCGTAAGTGGACTGGACCGGCACGCACCGGACATCGTTGCAGTGGGTCTTGTTGTACAAGAACCGCCCTTGTGCCTTTGATGTACACGCAAACGATCAAAATGCCGGTCCAGAAGGATTCAAATATCGTGAAAATCGCTGTTCAAATGACGGAGCAAGTGCCACAACTTATTGAGTTCAATCAAAAGCAACCGCTGACTGGAATTATTCAGGTACGAAAACTGCATTCATGAAGAAAGAAATATCAATGGTCTGATTAATTCTAAAAGAATCAGTATTAAATTTCATATTGATTTATACAGAATGAAGCACAAAAAGGTAGTATGTCCTATAGTTAATGTTAGTGTCAAAAAGAGCTTTATTAGTAATAAAGGAATAGTAAGAGAGTTATTTAATACGTTATCATAATTAACATATTATCTTAATTTCAGGAGTTGTGTAATGGATGGGGTTTGTCTGATGCAGAATCTTACTCATTGCAATTCTCAGATAGTAATAATCAGAATTATATCACAGAGAAAAACAGAAATGAAGTAAAGAATGGAAGTATTCTCAGATTGGAATTTTCACCATCAAAAACAGCAAATGATATTTTGACTAAGCTCAATAATGGAGCAATGGAAGAGAAAGTAATAGCTCTGCAGAAACTGAGCAAGCTTAGTACAGACATGACATTTGCATTCGAATTTATAAACAAGAAAGGATTGGCATTGATTATTTCGCAAGTATGAATCTTTTTGCATGAGGATACAATATGTCATTATCAATAATAATTTAATTTTTCCACTTGATATAGTAGATACAAATTTTGATAATTGTTTATATCCTTGATACTATATATTAAGGAGGAGCTCAAAGGTGGCTTCTCTAATGTAAACAATTATCTGAATTTCCAGGTGGAAGGTGGAAAGTACAAAGGAAATGCCCTTGCATATTCCCTTCAGTCATTTGTGGAGTTGATGGATCATGGAAATGTGTCATGGGATATATTGGAAACACCATTCATCAATAAAGTAGCAAGTTATGTGAACAATCAGTCGATAACCCAGGATACTAGTATAATAGAGGCTTCATTAAGTATCTTAGAAAACATAGTCCTGAACTCAACGGGAAAGTACGGACAGGTGGAGAAGGAAGTGACTTTTCCTAATCTTGTAATGTACCTGCAATGCATGAACGCTCAAATTCAACAGAACACGGTAGCACTTATAAACGCGTTGTTTTTGAAGGCTGATCTGTACAAAAGGCGTGCTGTTGCTGCCACTTTACAATCCAAACAAGTCAGGAATGTGTTCTTGACAAACATCATACAATCTACTGGACAGGTATGATTAAAAATTAGCATATTAGTAATTACTATTTATACATATTACTAGTAGTTACATCATTGTTCACTGTATAAACTTTTCATAGGTGGGTGCAGAAATGGCGCATCAGTTGTATGTGCTACAGACGTTGATGTTGAGTTTGTTGGAACAACGAATGATGATGAAGATGGATACACAAGATCAGGACGCGCATGATAAGATCAAGGAACTCCGAAAGATCGCTTTCGACACGGAGGGTGCAACTGGTGGAGACATTACCGCGCGTAAGCAAGGACTGTTTGCCAAGGATTACAAGAAATTGGGCTTCAAATGCGACATCAATCCTGCTCTTGATTTTACCGAAACGCCACCGGGTATGCTTGCGCTCGACTGTATGGTATACTTCGCGCGTATTCACACAGAGGGCTATACGAAAGTCGTTCTTGAGAACTCGTGCCGCGCGGACGAGCACGAGTGTCCTTTCGGCAGAACAAGCGTAGAACTCGTTAAATTACTTTGCGAGGTAAGGCAAACACTGGGAACCGTATGCTTATTCTTGCAACATAAAATGCATGGTTGCTGGTCTCATTATTGGAACCCTGGATTGATGACGTCAGAAGCGAGAAAATGCATGCCAAAAATTGGCTTGCATGTCATCTTTAGATAAAAAGATATAAGATAAAATCATGAGGGAAGGTTAAAGAGGAGTATTTCACATGTCACGTTAATTTAAAAACTATTGACTGTCAAGAGATGTTTTCGAAACATTTTACAAGTATGTTCAGACGATCTGGAATGTTCTTTCGTACAAATACTTTTTTATGTGAAAATGGCATGCCCTTTCTCGTTTCTGACGTCATCAATTCAGGGCTTCGCATTAATGAGACCAGAAATCTTAATGAATATATTTTTCTGACTAGGTGTTACGTATTGGTGAAGCACCCAGTGAACAAGGCCAGTCGTATCATCCGATGTTCTTCACGCACGATCACCCCTTTGAAGAGTTCTACTGCGTCTGCATAGTTCTCCTGAATAAAACATGGAAAGAAATGCGAGCTACTACAGAGGATTTCGTTAAAGTTTTCTCTGTTGTGCGCGAGCAAATCACCAGAGCACTTCAATGCAAGCCTACGGGATTGGATAAGTTTAAGAGTAAGTTACAGCAGCTGACTTACTCGACGATTACTAATCTTTGGCAACAAGAGAGGACAAGTAGGGAGGAATGGGAAAGCCACGCGAAGCCAATCGTAGAATTAAGAGAACAAATCACTCCGGAAATCCTAGAGTTAATTCAACAACAGCGATTAGGCTTTCTGGTTCAGGGCACCAGATTCATGAAGTACAGTGCTAGAGGACAAGTATGTGACGTCTTTTAATCAAATATGTTTGAAGTTATGCATAATGCGTGGATTGTCCCTTAACCAACGTCTCGTTTGATACAGAGAATCAAAGATAAATTCTGGTACGTCCGCTTATCACCAAATCACAAAGTGTTCCATTACGGAGATTGCGACGACAAGTCTGTGCCAACCATCGACGATCTTCCTACGAAATTGGCGGTAGTCGAAATTCGACAGCTGATAGTCGGCAGGGATTGCCCGCACATGAGAGAGTTACAAAGACGGAAAACTACTCATCAATTAGCGTTTTCCTTGGCTTTGGATTCCGTCGAAGTTTCTAGTCTCGATTTCGTCGCCCCGGATGAGCAGATTTTCGATTATTGGACCGATGGTATCAATGCCTTACTTGGTACGCTACTTGTTCAATTTATTAATAATAAAACAATATACAGAAACGATATTTTTATATTTTGTTTTACGTGCCTGCAGGACACCGAATGATAAGTAAGGAGGCACAGAATGATTTGGAGACTCTTTTATCAATGGATATTAAGTTAAGACTTCTAGACGCCGAAGGAATTGATATTCCGCAGGATCCACCTGCAGGACCTGAGCCACCGCCAAATTATGACTTTTGCTATGAATTGAAGTAAAAGTTGTACATGGTGTTCATTGCTTTACAAATTGCATCATTGTATACTGATTGGTTTTTACTGATAGACTTATTAGCCACAAACTTTGTACGTGTGTACATATATATTTTTATAATTTTTTCGATCTCGCGCACATTCGTATTACAGCTGTGTAATGTGAATTCAGATTTTTTAGGCCATAACTTTCTCTACCGCATATTTTAAATGTACGGGAAATCATAAATACGTCGTACCAAAGAAATCTTTTAAACTTTATATGTTTGAATTATACATGTGCTTTTTTTAGAAAATATTTATACATTCCAAACGGAATATTGTTTTATAAAAATACTTATTTTATAAAAATACTATAATCATGTTAATGTTTTTACTATATTTCAATTAACTTCAAGAAAGCCTGATACTCAGCCCATCAATATATCGATATTTTATATACTATCTTTCATCCACTTAGATGTACTCTGTCAATATTTTATACACTAATTAGCGTGTGACCGGCATAATGCGATTAATAAATCGTGTAACTCTAACTTTATAAAGTATTTATTGAAATCTCAAATTATATATCATCTCAATTATGTATATCAATGATATAATCTCAAATTATATAAAACTTTTCACTACGTCTTTGCAAGTTTATGCCCTGGCAGCGGAATATCGGAATAATAAGAGACAAGAATCTCTCAGTGGCAATAATACGACTTTGTGCAAATATACATATATATATATATATATATATATATATATATATATATATATATATATATATATATATATCTCAGGACCTTGAATAAGTTCTCGCTGTTTTCCAGATGGTGTTACCAGAACTGCGTGCATGTAATTTAAAATAGTAACGTATCTATAAGGAAGTACTGTAAGCAAGCTTGAAATTCAGTATATGTCATTTCGCTGAAGTGTAAACAACTTTTTTTTTCATAGTGTTAAACATGTCAAGTTTCGTGCCAAAAAAAGAGTATTTGCGGGGAATTTTACTGCACTACTTTATTAAAAAAAAATCTGCAGCTGAAGCACACAGAATTCTTGTTGAGACTTACGGCGACCATGCTCTGTCCGAAACAACATGCAGAGATTGGTTTAGACGCTTTAAAAATAATGATTTTGATGTTGAAGATAAAGAACGCTCTGGCGCACCGAAAAAGTTTGAAGACGAAGAATTGGAGGCATTACTTCATGAAGACTCATGTCAGACGCTAGCTGAACTTGCAGAATTCTTAGGAGTTGATCACACAACAAAGTTTCGAAACGTTTGAAAGTATTAGGAATGATTCAAAAGCAAGGACATTGGGTGCCGTACGAGTTGAAGCCGAGAGACGTCGAACGGCGTCTTTTCACGTGTGAACAGCTGCTTCAACGGCATAAAAGGAAAGGTTTTTTGCATCGTATCGTGACTGGCGGTGAAAAGTGGATAAACTACGATAACCCTAAGCGTAGAAGATCGTGGGGTAAGCCCGGCCATACATTAACATCGTCGGCAAAGCCAAATATCCATGGATCGAAGCTCCTGCTCTGCATTTGGTGGGATCAGTTGGGTGTAGTTTATTATGAGCTGCTCAAACCGAACGAAACCATCACGGGAGGTCGCTATCGACTACAATTGATGCGTTTGAGCCGAGCATTAAAAGAAAAACGGCCGCTATACGAGCAGAGATACGACAAAGTGATTTTGCAACATAACAACGCTCGGCCACATGTTGCATAACCGGAAATTGTTGAAAACCTACTTGGAAACGCTTAAATGGGAAGTCCTACCCCTCGCCGTATTCACCAGACATTGCCCCTTCCGATTATCACTTGTTCCGATCGATGGCACATGGTCTGGCTGAGCAGCATTTTCATTCTTTCATTCTTTCATTTTCATGCCAAAAAATGGGTCGACTCTTGGATAGCCTCAAAAGACGTGTTGTTTTTCCGACGTGGAATTCAAATGTTGCCAGAAAGATGGGAAAAAGTAGTGGCTAGCGATGAACAATACTTTCAGTGACATGTTTTTTACTTTTTTTAAATAAAGCATTAATTTTCATGATCAGCGAGAACTTATTCAAGATCCTAATAATTTGGAAAAATAATCATTTGTATCGTTGTCATGTACTCAGTGATTACGCTTGGCTGCGAAAGTGCGTGAAAAGTAAATCACTCGGAGATCCATGTGTCGTTTGTGTTACATGACATCTTCCGAGAGAATGTGATAATGCTGAAGATCGTTTGTTTGATGATCCGGAGGGCAGAGGAAAAACTCGATGAAGTTAAGCACGGGCCCACGACTGAAGGGATTTAGATATTTACCTCTCTTGTCCCTCAGGTATGAATATCTCTTGTAATTGAACATTTCGTTGGTAGTTAGATTCATGCAGGCGTGTAGGACCTGTATTAAAAAAAGCGTTAATGGAACATTTATGCGTCAGAAATGTGGTATCGATGTTTTGTTACACCGAACTGTATTTACCGAAGTACACGTTAGAATCCAGCCAAGTCCGCAGAAAACGAGAGCCTCTAAAACACCGAGGACATACAGCAGCTGAATTCCCTCGATCGCAATGCAGTAGCACGCAAAGTACAAGGTGAAAGAGCAGTTTATTGCCACGCACATCACGAACAGGAAGAACCACATTCTGGAAAAAGGAGAAAGTATGCGTTAGAAAATTAAACGATGAATTAATATCATGTAACCTATCTCTCCCACCTGTTCCTCAGGCCGACGCAATTATATATGAAGGGACAGTGGTGATCGAAATACGTGACGCATCTGTTGCAAATTCTGCAATGCTTAGCTCGAAGCGGTCTGAAACATCTACAACTGTGACACAGACGCGACAGCAAGACGTTTCGCTTCTTCCACTTGTCGAAATATGGAATCTGAAACACAACGTAAGAATAAAACGCAACAATGTTATAATATCAGTCATACAATTGCGCTTTACGCGATATCTAATACCTGTTTTATCGCTCTATAGTAAGTATCGCTGTTCTGCGGCACGTAGCCGGGATCTCTCCTGTTAGCGACGACCCACGATATCCACATAAGAATGTTCCAGTAAATGAAACAGTAGTGACTACCGCGCAGGAGGTTCCACGTCAACGGAATGCATTTCAACAAGTACATCGGGTATCCCCACACCAATACAGATATCATGAATAGCAGCAATGGTCCTTTGCTGTTGCCCGCTCCGCCGAAGAGCAGCGCCCTTGAAGTCAAACGTCGGAAAATGTAATTTTACGTCTCATCAAGATTCGAGTACATCAAGATATCTCGAACAGGATGTGTAATCATGTACGAGCACGTACCATAATTCATTGATAGGCGGTATCCATCTAGCTCTGCGCTTTTGTTCTGCTTGCAGAATCCGTACGATCTCCGAGTGACGATGACTCTTGGCCAACTGCAGCGGCGTCTTGCCGTTTTTGTCGCGCGGCTCCAACTCGATCTTGCTCTTTTCACAGAGAATTCGGACGCAGCTGATATTCCCGGACAGACAAGCCAAATGGAGCGGTGTCGAGCCGAAATAATCGGGTTTCTGCAGATCCACGCCGCTGTACATCAGCAGTTTGATCAATTCGGCGTGGCCCTTGTACGCAGCCCAGTGCAACGCGGTGTCGCCGTTTATATCAGTCAAGTGCCCTAACGCGCCAGATCCTAGCAAAAAGGCAGCGGTCGCGAACTTGCCGAACATGCAGGCGGTCATCAAAGGCGTCAGGCCCTTGAAGTCGGCTGCGTTGACGGCGACTCCCGCCTGAAATTAACACAACGTAAGGTAGATGCGAGAGAGAGATTTCGCTGAGTTTCTGACTTGAAAACTGTTCTACGTACCTTTAATAATAATTGTACTATTGCACTATGACCTTTCCGACAAGCCCAATGTATCGGTCTAGGTCCTTGCGTGCCGAGGCACGGCAGATCGACGGGCCCGCTGCGCTCTATTAAGTATCTCATGACCTGTCGGAGAAAGAGCAGATTTCACAGGTTATAAAAAATCACGATGACGTCAAAATGATATCACAATAACGAGAAAATAATAAAAAAAACTCACTTTTTAATCATAATTCGTTCATTTTGACGTCATCGTAATTTTCTGTTCTACTTGAGTTTATTTCTTAAACGCGCCTTAACAGTTATAAGAAAGTTAAGATTATAATGATTGTGGTGTTTAAAACTAACTTCAATATTGCCATCCAAAGCGGCCCAATGGGCAGGTGTGTATCCCCATTCATCCCTCGCGCTGAGCACGCTTAAGCCGTTCTTCTCCACCAGTTCCTCGACCGCCTCAATCTCGCTGCAATACAAAAGATTTTTTTCGTTTTCCTGTCCGGTATTCTCTTCTCGAATTTTTAAGTTATCATTTTTTACGTCAATACTTTCTAGTAAGAACATAATGTGAAATCATTGTCTTTGCTCAACGGAACTTTTGCAGATTTTTTTCTGACTTCTGCAGTAGGCAAGTATTTACGCTAATTGAAGCATTGATCGTGCTCAACAGAGAAGGCTGTTTTGTATGATAACTGTTCGTAAATCTGGTTGGGATATGCTCTTAATCTTGGCTGAATCTAAAGATAAATATACCAATCAGATTTACAAATTTTACAACGATTGCAAAGCAGCTTTCTCTGTTAAACGTTTATCTAACCCGGCTCTGAGCAGCTCGAAGATCTGTTTGGTCTCGTCGGTAGGACTTTGGCCGGGCGTGGTCTCGTCGGCGTAGATGTTGTCATCAGGACGGCTTCTCTGTCGTGCAGTTTTGTCCGAGCCATGATGATTCTGATGGCTCGCGCTGGATATCAGATTGTTCGGTAGATGCCCGACCATGTCGGGATCGGGACTTAGCTCCCATACGGATCGTGCCGCACCAGGCCCTGCCACAGGGCTCACAGGATACACCTGTAAGAAGACGGACGGACAAAATGTCACGGCTGAAAGATCGTCAAACAGTGCGGTCGTAGTTACGTTTTAAAGCTACAGCACTGGTCTGTGAGTCGGTCATGTATCTATTTCCTTCGCATAAACTCATAAAAAATAAAAAGTTTTATTGAATTCGTCGAAGAAACTTTTCATTTTAATAAATACATGATCGATTCACAGATTAGTGCTGCGATTTTAAAACGGAACTGCAATCGTATTGTAGATTCCTAAGTCTTGAGGGAGGAAAGTAAACAGACCGATTATCGTCAAACCAAAATAGTATCGTGAGCTAAAAGGAGAGGAGAGAATTTTAATAACTATAAAATTTCTAAGAAAGATTATTAAAAGTTTAAGATATATATATATATATATATATATATATATATATATATAAAGTTTGTCATTTTTTACCCACTAACAAAACTTTAATTAATCACTGAAAATTGCGCTTTTAAGATTTTCTATAAACACTTTCTATAAAGAAGTTTCACCAGTTATTAAAAATCTCCACTCACGACTTTTCGATAAGTAATCGAGGCAAAAAAAGAAATTATCAGCGATATGGAAACAAATCTTTTTTAACGTTTTTTAACGTTTCAATTGTATTTCACCTTGCACAGCGTCGCGAGTTCGGTATTTGTACGCTCGTGTTCGGAAGGCGTTCTGAAGGATGCACCCTGTGTGGCGATCGTTCCACCCTCCGGGACGGTTAGTCACAAGGAAACATTGGGCCCAACCATGTCTTCCGAGCCTCACTTGACGGCACAGCTTTCCCTCCAGACCTGAAAGCTCCAAAGGCGGTAGATTCCCGCTGTCGGTGCTTATGTCGACGAGTGTCCCTCCTTCACGCGACGAGCGACGTCCGCATTTCTGAGAACACCGTCGACAATCACGGTCGCACAGGCGTTGCGCATTCGAATCAATAAAACGCGGCGACCTCAGAAACGCCTGCGTGCGAGGAACGCGTGATAAATTAGGACGCGCGTAATACATATTTTAATATACTGATAGACTATTACCTAGCAAAACTTGCTTGATTGCAGTGAATTCAAAAGAATAATACCAAATTAAATTTTCAACAGGAAATTGAAAATCAGTCAATGGTCAATTAATTCTCGGCCAGCAAATATTGTCGCTCGAGATCTATATACTTCAAATTACTCTAATATTGTTTTACATCTTCGAGTTGTGCAATTATGCACATTTACGTCATTCAATTCGCGATAAAACCTCTGCCTTGAATGTTTATGCTTTAGTGATAAGATAACTCGTATACAGCAAAAAAGTGATCTATACACATTATTCAGAGAATAGATCTTTGAAACTATTTACGAGTCTTAGTTTATTTTGTTTCGGAATATTACAAACTCTCAGAATATTGCAAATATTTGTAACAAACAATGAATACTTGAATTTTTTGTTATACATACTTTATTTATGATAGATCCTTAAAGGAATGCTGAATATCAACATAATACAATGTTCTAGTCTGCACTGTTTTTCTATTTCATTGCATATAATTGCAAATGTTTTTTCGGAATGAAAATATAAATACCAATACATAAGAAGACATCAGATATTGTATCAAAGGTAAAAACTTTTATTTACACATTCTTTTTTAAAAATTTCTTTTACAAATTTCTTTTATTCCAAAGAGAATGTTATATCTGAAAACTATCGACAAATTACTATCTTTTTTCTGCAAAGTTTGTAGTATTGGTTGCACAAAACTATAAAGGCTTTTACACAATAAAAGTATATGCAAAATTAATTAGAGCATCCTATATATGATGAAAAAGATAAATATAAATATATATATATATATATATATATATATATATATATATATATATAAAGATAAATATAAATATAAAAACTGATATCTCAAGTTGTCAATTAGAGTAAATATTTGTTTACTGTAAAAGTACAGAGCTGATGTATGCTTTGCATTATTGCTGAAGGAATACAACTGATATTTCATTTATATATCATAAATTTTTGGTGGCCTAATAACATAATCTGGCTCTATAGGCTCTTTAGCAATAATACAAAGCAATATATTACAAAAATGAGTCAGTGATACGTAACATATATAAGACAGAAGTTGCAACTTGCAAAAGCTACTAAACTTTTAGTACTGTGACATTTTGGTATAACTGATACTTTATATTTCATTAATTTGTGGCGACCTAATTGCACAATCTGATTCTGTAACTCCTTCAGAAGGCTCCTTCTGAAGCTCCCTTAGGCTTCACAGCCCCTCGTCTATAATCGGATTTTCGCTCCGTCCATGTATTATTACGTCCATGGCCGTAACCGATGGTTGCGTTCAGCAGAGAAAGCTGCTTTGCAATGTTGTAAAATTCGTGAATCTAATTGGAGTATGTTCTTAATTTTGGTTGAATCCAAGAGTATTCCAGTCAGAGTACCAATCAGATTCACGAATTTTACAACTAACTTTGTTGGAAACCAGCTCTCTGCTAAAAGCAGCCAATTGGCCTTTACTCCCATTGTAGACAGTCCTTTACATGGACATAGGCTTGGTTTACATCGTGCACTTGATACGCGTACTAAATAGTAACTTTCTATTAGATAATCTTAATATCGACGATATATATAAACAATGGTATATTAAGCTGGTATAATACTCATCAAGAAAACGTATTGTATTGATTAAACGCGTCGCCGTTGATATGCATTGTCAATATTAAGATTATCTAATAGAAAGTTACTATTTAGTACGCGTATCAAGTGCACGATATAAATCAGGCCATTGTAGATGGATGTTTGGAGTGCGTTAGGCGTGCACATGCAACAAATTTGCCTAGAATTCTGGTTGAATTAGCGATTAACTGTTTCTTATAAATAATGGATCCTAGTCGACATATGATTCTGAGTCTTTATCGGAATTTGATTCGAGAAAGCAAGAAATGGAGCTCATATAATTACAGGTATAATAATAAGACGGTTATATCGATATTAAATAAGATTATCACGTTTAATGGTTATGTGATATCTTTTCAATACTTCTTTTATTGGTAATAATCAAAATATTCTAAAAAAGAGATATATTATTCGGTTTTCTTGTAGAAAATAATGGTTAAAAAATGTTATTGTAATATTATATTCTTACAATTATGGAACTTTGAGTTATAAATACAGAGAGTGACTTTTCTTTATTTCTTTTGTAATTACTATATGAATCAGTATATTTATTATATTTCTGTAATATTTATATACTTTCAGCAATGTTGGACAAGATTTGTTAATTATTTTGTATTTTTTCAGGATGTATGCTCTGCGGAAGGTACGACATGAATTCAAAGAAAGTAAAACATTACAAGATGAAGAAAAGATTAAGCAATGTTATGCAAAAGGACAGGAAACATTGAATTTGATTAAAAGACAAGTAATATTGAGTAATCTTTATGGTACCAGGCCATTAATAATTGAAACTTTGGGCAAATAAAATAACACAAGATACAACTGCATAAAATTGTTTTGCTTAAAATTATACTGATAACTACACATATTTGCAACCAATCTACTTACTTTATATATACACAAAAACATATATATATGTGTATAAAGAAACTTTATATGAAGGAAATTTTTTTTAAACTATGCAGTCTCAGAATTGCAGTTTCAAAGTAATTGAAGTACAGCAGTATAACTTTCATTTAACTTTTAACACTATATTAGGCACATTATATTAGGTATTTAATATCGTTAGAAAACATGAAAAATAGTTTGATTAATTTTTAGATTGGTTTTTTATTATATATACATAAAATATATAATAATATAGTCCTTGTGTAAATATATTAGATTTAATAATAGGTAATGTAAAACATTTTTTCTACTTAGATATGTACATATGTTTCATTATTATAATTGTTCTTGTACAGTTATTACAAATTGAATTATTTTATTAATATGCGATGTGTGGTAGTACAGGATTGTTATGTTGTTCAATCGTGTTGAAAAATAAAATCTGTGTGGTCAATTATAAGTACAATTTGAAAATAAAAATGTGTGATGTACATTTATATCTTTTAGTTATATTTTTTTACACTCCTGACTTTCAATTCTTCTTGGAACGATTACGGCTGCGTTCCGATATTCACTATCAGTATCAAAAATTTATAATTCATGTTACGTATATTATAGATTTTCAATGAATATCCGAACATAGCCATTTCCATTCGCGTTTAAAATACAAAAAGTGCAAAGAATATATATCAGTGTAGCTAGCGAGAGCAGGTGTTTCGATCAGCTGTTTGAAGATGACAGCTGAGCCAGTGCGTTGCAAGGACGCGGTTCGCGATGGAACGATTATGAACTATATCGTGTTCACGTGCTCATTTTGATAAACAATTATCGAAGAATGGCTACGAGGAATTTGACTGAGCCGTTTGTCTTAATGCGAAATAATGCTCTTCAGACTAAACACATCTATGCCGAACAGGTGCGTGCACATCTAACCTGCACCGATTCGAAATTTTGCCGCTGCTGTTCATACTATACGCGATTTTTCCATAAGTAATGAAAGAATTTTACGTTTTATCTTTAAGAGCATCACCGATCGTGTGGCATTGGTGGAATCGGACTCTGGCGGATCCGACAGTGTCGAGTTGAAGGGTATAAACACGGACAGCGGAGCACCGCCTGCTTGGGCAGATGCCTTAGAGGAAACGCAGTATATCTTAAGCAGATTACGAGTAAAGATAGACACCCTGATCGAATTACACTCCAAGCAGCTCACCAGGCCGACTTTGGACGACACATCTCAGGTTTGTGAGTTTCTGAGATTATTACGTCACAGTCAGATATGAAATTGTGATAAGTCACAATTGATTGATTTTAGAAGAATCTTATTCTGCTAGAATGGTTTGTACAGAAGACTTCTGCATTAACTGAGTGTAATTTTTGCAACTTGGAATAATTAAAATGAGAAAATTTGAGATATACTTTATAATGTACTGTAGGAAGAGAGACAAATGGAACAACTCACACGGGAAATTGGACGTGCGTTTTCTAATGGCTATAGACAAGTACAAACGATCAAATCAGCTGGCAGACATAAGACCAAACCTACAGAACGTCGATTGGCTGCCAGCGCGGTGATGGCTCTTTCGACTGCCTTACAAGAATTAGGTCTTCGATACAGAACAGCACAGAATCATTACTTAGCACGTGTGTATCTTTCACTATTTAATCCTTTAATCCTTGAGTAGAGAATATCTGTGGAGATTTGCATTGCACTCGTGTGTGTTGTCCTTGCAGAGATGAAGTCAAGAGAAGAGAGAAATAGCCAGTTCTTCGCAGAGGACCAGTTTCTGTTGGACAGTGTAGCTACAGACTCCTGGTTGGCAGAATCGAACGAGGCTGCTGCCGATTACTGGCCTAGGGATGAGCGAAGACAGGACTCGGTTTTATTGCAATTGGAGGAACCTGAGGATAGGATGAAATTAGCATTGGAAAGGGAGGAACAGATTGGCAGTATAGTTCAAAGTATAGGAGATTTAAAGCATATTTTCAAGGTACATACAATATTATTCTGTGTCGTATCCTGCGATAAATAATATATTGATGACTAAGAAGTAATACTTTGTATCTGCAAAAATGGCTATTTTAGAATTTTTAATTAAGCAAACTCAACATTTTCTTCTTTTGACTTGTTAAAAGTATTTTACTTTTGTTTGAAGTAAAAAAAACTAAATCATATAAAAAAAAATTCAGTTGCTCGAATCGTGAAAAGTTTGTTGTTTCTCCTAAAAGTTTCCTGAAAATTTTGCACATACGAGTACTTGTAGATTATTTATTGCTACATCATGGCTAGATGACAAGGTGTATAACTTTGAATATTTTTATATTCAAATAGGATCTTGCAGTGATGGTAGAGGATCAGGGTACTATTTTAGACCGGATCGATTATAACATCGAGCAAACGCAAGTGCAAGTGCAGGAAGGCTATAAACAGTTGAAAAAAGCCGATTCGTATCAGAGAGCTAATAGGAAGTTGTACTGCATTGTGGTTCTCGCGGCTGCTATTATATTACTTAGTTTTCTATTAATCATATTTAAGACGTAGATAAGCATCAGTGAGTAAAATTTATGTAAAGGAATATTGATATAACGCACCTGTTTGTGCAATTTATCATCATGTTCTATAAGATGAAACATGTTTATAGAACTTGTTGCAATGATGGGAAAGCTATTTTTCAAGACTGCGACTTTTTCCAAGTGTTACGTCAACGACAAGACAACGTATTTAAATGTCTATTTTAATCTATTCATTGAACAATTAATCTGATAGGAATATTTAACTATGTGTGAGTGCATTAATCATTTTAATTAATGTTAATCTTGTTGCGGAATCCGACTTTAACACATCATCGCTCTTAATATTGCAATACATGCAAATTTGGTTCAAATGGCCATGCAATGTTTGAATTCTTATAATGTACATTAAATGATATACACAAATTTGCATATACTGCATATATTTGTATAAATTAATAGAATAATTTATTTATCTCAATTTATGTATACTGTACATTTTTATATAGCAGAAAGTTATAACATATAAATTATTTTTATTTACATATGATCGCAACAATATGGAAATATTGCAAAATGAGTTTTATATCCGTATCGTAAGCCGTTTCCTTGGCCGATCATTCGATTGTTGAATAAAATCATTCCATAAGAATAAACAAGTAAACTGGCTGTAAGGACATGCGTTGTTCATTTTTTCTGTATAGATCCCTTTCCTATCGTGACCATTGCAATAGCACATCGTGAATTTATGACGTTTAATAGTTTATTTCTATTTATGGTATGGTTGATTTAGTAGTTGAGTAATGTGTGTATATATATTTGTTACTATATAATATATTCAAGATTTGATTTATTTATTTTTAGCTATTTCATTGCACTTTATATTAACTTCTTGAACATTGCACCTCCTATCACAGATTGTGTGTTAAGTATTTTTGTGTTCACACATACGCATTGTTGTTATTATTATTGAACTAAATATATGTATATATATATGTGTGTGTGTGTATATATATATATATATATATATATTCACACATATACACACATATATACACATATGTATATCAATGTTTATATCAATAAAATTTCTAAAAATCTCACGCATATATCACTATGCTATAAATCAATATGTTACAATATTCATTTGATTCCTTATGCACACTGTAATATTTATAGCACTTACTAAATACTATGTTCAGTGTTGCCGTTATTATTATATAATTTGTTATAACGTCATATCTAAATACATTAGGCTTCCTGTTACAGTACGTATTACCATATAAGTCTATATAATGTAAGTCTGATATGACAAAAAAATATTTTTCATTCTTTTCATAGAATATCATCAAATATTAACGTGAAAATTTGCTTAAAATATAATGACAAAAAAAAACACATTTCTTTTTTTCTCTAACCCATCTTTAGGTGTAGAAAATTAACTTTTACTATAATATACATATTATGTAATATATATTATATAATTTAAATTATACAATAGTACACTTTTTTACATGTTTACGCATTAAGTATTGTAAAAAGAATCATATAAATTATAAACGATAAAGTATGCTTGTAAATTAAATGTAAATAAATGTCAAGATCAACATTTAACAAAACGAGAGTTAAACAAAAACGTTTTGTACTAAAAAGGCATTATTACTGATGTATAGCTTATATTAATAAAAAAGCATTACTAGCCTACTGCATTATTAAAGTAATCACAGCTTATTAATAAGAGATGCAGAGGTATATCACGATGGATCGAAGATTTCGCGTCAAAACAAACATACGATAATCATTTCGTGAGATATACTCTTATGTGCGCACGTGACTCGGAAAAAAATAATGTGAATATTTTAGTTGATTCACACGTGTGTAAATACTTGTGCGTTCAAACGAGCACAATTGCGATCCGGTCGATTCAAGATAAATATATTCGATTTCGCAAGAATGAAAATGATTAAAAATCCTTTAATCATTATAAGTAGATGTGTCTAAGAAAATGCGTGTTTAACGTAACTGTAAAAAGGCAAATATTGACCGATCATAAGTACACACTGAGTAATGTCGCAATTTATATCGCGAATTTCATCGTATCGTCTGCGTAATCGCAGATGGTTGACATCTCCTTCTCACGAAGCTCATTATGATATATATTTCCACCAGTTCGTGTATACACTCTACAAGGAGTGGTATTTGTATGCACTCGCATATCGAGGGCTTGTGAATCATGACAAGTGTATTTGTCGATAATACCTATTAAACAACAAATTACGTGAAACTGTACTGTTTCTACCGGCCACTTTTACGCAATTTATTTGCCGAATGGAATGTTATCAGGTATGAATATAGATCGAAGGTAGAGAAGTATCAATTGTCATCTTTTACCGCACCTGTGTACGCTATCGCTGATGAACATTGTAATGATCTCTTCGGCCTTTTTCCCCCACTAAGGGATGAAATATCTAAATAGCTATGTATACTCAACTTTTCCGGTATGGATTATAATTCTCGTGTAGACAACACTCGTTATGGCCAAATATTAGCTACAGTGACTGATCACGCAACATTCTCTGTGTGATCAGACCTCGAACACAGTTCTCTCGTTCCGATGGGTATATATCGACGAATCAACTGGCTTTGGCTTCTGCGATATGCCTCACGCAATATACCGTACCGAAATAGTTAAAACATCTGTGGTTCTATCTCGGTAATGTGAAAAGGAATATAAAAATAACTTCAATAGTATGTACAAACAGATTTACCGAGCGTTACCGCCGACGTTAGTGTTAAGAGCTAAAGCGGTAGTCTTTCAGCACTCACATAATTTGAGCAGTACAAGTCACACAATCTTCATTGTCTCAATACGTCTGTATATAATACAATTTTATTAAGACACGATCGGCTCTCGCGAACGGCTGTCAACGGCTTTCACGTGTTCGTGGTGCACAAGATGTGTGCCAAAATTCCAAACGCACCACCCAGGACGAAGCGAACGAAATTATCGCCGACCAAAGGCCCCAGTGCGTAAAGTCCCTTCGTCGGTGCCTTGATCACCTCATACGTGATATCGTCGATCTCGATCGGATTCGATTTGCTGTCAATTGGTCGGTCTGCAATTTTACCTAGCCTGACACCGCTGCCTTCCAAGTAAGATAAATCGGGTTTGTATCCTGAAACGGAATGTTCAACCGATGAGTCAAAACCGACTGACTAATCCCCGGAGAATAACTTTAGATCAATCAATAAAGATAATGTTCGACTTTTATTAACTCGACTTTTATCGTAAAACAAAGACTAGTATCAAACTCACCGATAAGAATAGCCGCGGTCGACACTTGAAACGTGTGCAGCTGCCCATCTGGAGCAGACAGAGTGGCCATTCTCCTGGGGTTTACGTCGATTCCTTCGTCACCATCATCTTCATCGAGACTCACAAGCGTGTATCCTGGCAGCGACTTGTAGAGAGGATAATTGGTGCCTCCGTCGGCCATCATTTCATATACCTTGTGGTACTCCGGATAAATAGCACTGGGCAACCATTGCAGTCGGTCGTAACTGCTATTTATCTTGACCGCGGTCTCTTTACCCCACTCGTTCGTCGAGTTGCGGAATGCGTGTAGCACGGGTATGCCGCGAAAGCGCGCGGCCATGACTGCGTCGGCTGCGCTGAGGCCGGCTCCTACCACTAACACGGGATGCTCTTGCTCGTCAGCCGTACTTTCGTCTGCAATGAGCGATTTCACAGATGAATATGAGACGCAAACGAACATCACGCGATTCGCGAACGAGCGAATTGGTTATTCGGGAAAGCCAAGTTACCAGAGGAATTGCTGAATTGGATTTTCTTTCTTCGTGATTGATGTGTGTTATAATATAGACGAACGCATCGACGTACCATATTCATCGAATAAACGTTCCAGACGAGTCTCGAGATCGTTGAGATCGTGTGTCACCCAATCGTATATTTTCTCCCCTGAGACGCCCAGCTGATTCGACAAGTCGGTCGTGCCGGTCGCAAGGATCGCTCTCTTACATTGATATCGAAATCGCTTGCCGCTCTTGTTCTCGTAGCCGTCCACGATCCAGTTATACCCTCTTTTGTTCTCGGGCGAATCCGAATTCGTTCTTACTGAAGTAACTGTGGTCCCGCTGCAATAGATTACCTTCGTGAAAGTCTGCATTGACATTGATAACAGGGCTGTTGCTCGTATAGAGACACTTTCAAATACGTACCATCGGAAGTATTGCTTCAGGCCTTTTCTACGCACGTAGTCCTTGTAATAAGCGGCTACGGTACCCACGGAGACTCGACTGGCTGTCTTGCAGACGTTCAGTTTTTCCTGCCGTATGTACGCGCACATGTCGCTCTCCGCCAACACCGACTTCTGTAATTGCTCAGCCTCGACAAGTTTCTCCCAGTGCCTCAGATCCAAGTCAGGAAGGGACATCCATCGGCTTAGACTGATGGTCAGCACATTGGGATCCATAGACTAATGAGAATTAAAATGGACAAAAATTAAACTTATGGCAAGTTGAACATATTAAAACTAATACTATCATAACCATGTATTCTCATTTACATATAATACAAATCTCTAAACATCAACTTCGGCCTTTCTCCCTTATTATTTCGCACCATCGCAATATTATCTTGTCTTCTATCTATCGAGCCCCATTTTTATCTCACGGCAGACAATTTTATACGCCTGCAGCATCTGACGCATATCTCGCTCGAGAACAAGAGAGAAAGAGCGAGAGCGAAGTATCGTTAGCGCCGCGTACCTGCCAGGCGCCGCCAGGTTGGCCCTTGCCGAGGACAATGTGGTCCACGATCCTGTGCTCGGGACACTCGCTGGCGGATCTCCAATCGAGAAGTGACGGCACGTCCAGGCCGGCGTCTACGCATGGATGCTGCAGTTGGTCCATCAGGAGGGCCAAGGGTCGTCCACCGCCTCTGCCCTCGATACCAGAAGACAGACATTCCAGCTTATTGCGCGTGCTGCGAGCTAACCCACCCTCTTGCGCTGTCCTGACGACACCGGTCTCGGAGCATTGGTGCCGTTTGTTGGCGTTCGCATCTTCCTCGACCTCCTCTTCGCTGGCGTTTGTTACGTTAAAGTTCAGCCGCGCCGTGAGCATGTCGTCGCCAGGATGGGGCTCGCCGGTGTAGTAAGGCCAGTTTCCGGCGAGCATGTACGACAAGCATATCCCGCTGGGCCCGTTTCCTAAGCACCCCCACAACATGCTTAAGATCCGGTTCGCCGTGTGATTTTTTTTCGACTTATATACTAACCTTGCCTTTTACGATACGCGGTAACGAGGCCTTAAATTCTATAGTCAATTAATTCCAAGCTTCGGCGGAGAATAAAAAGTTCATATCAGTCAGTTAAAATTATCTTTAACTAAAATAACCAGCAAAACAATAATTAAAATTAATTATTCGTTATATGCAAAATTACGAATTCTGTCGATTGAGGAAATTAATTATTAATCAGTATATAATCAACCACATTAATGTTTGATTAACAATTAATTTCATCAATTGATGGAACTATTTGTGACGTTATATATGACGATTGATTGTTTTTAACTACTGATTAGTCGATTATTTTATTCATAGGAAATTTTTGATTAATGACCAAAGCTGGAAGTTCGTCAGTCTCGATTATCGTAGCGTCATCAGATATATAATACGCGGCGGAATTGCAATCAAAAAGGATCAAATCGTAAAGATATTTGGGTCTTCGACATTCTCAACGTGCAATGTGACGTTGGTAAACACGCTTATTGTTATTCCGTCATTAATTCTTTAAAATCTCTTTTTTAGCGATTTTTAGGTCTCATTTATCTCAAAGAATAATTAAATCGTGTGTTGAAATTGAGACATCCCGTACTCACCTATAATTACAACATCCTTGTAAATGACATCGTTATCGTCGACGTTACATTCGTTCTGCATTTTTCCTTCTCGTATATCTGACACAAGCAAATCTCCGCAAGACAGATTCACCGTGATCCGGTGGTCGTCGGTCTGCTCGAGCGCTGCAACGAGAATGACAAGTCGTCGGGAGATTACTTTGTTGAATTGAGAAATTACTTCGTTGCAAAAATACGATTGCATAATGTCGTGCATACGGCACGTTAATGGCTCGTAAGCGTGTAATTGAGGAATTATGAGTTAGTAGTGCCTGTCATTTTTACTCGCACTGTGTCTAACCTTTAATTACGGAAGTTTCAACATTCTTCACATTCGCGGCAGACGAGATCATTACATAATAAAGACGCATATGTAGAGCTATTAGTTTCTTTTTTTTCTTTCCTTTCTCGCTCGTGTAGACAATCGCGCAGTCTGCGCGATCTGTGCCGCATCTGTGAACGTTTAACGAGGTAGAGCGGAAGAAACGCCTGATATTCTTTCCTCGAGAAATTCAATGATAAGTCAAAGTACACGCGTGTTGCAATAATTGGTTCAGTTTTTTTAACCGATGACGTGTACGAGTGTTACGTATTCTACACGAATTATCAACCGTGTGTTGGCAAAATGAGAGGAAAAACAAACGAACTGCGTTGTTACTGAAGATTTTCTGCGTAATCGTAAATGAAGCGTGCATACAGTCGATAAGATAAACCAGGGCGATTCTTCTTTTATAATGTCGCAGTCTTCCTCTCCTATATAGCGTCCTAATGAACAATATCACCTTACTGCAGCCTGTACACTTTACGACGAGCAATTTATGAGTCACTCGGCGCGCACGGCGATGCAAGATTACAAGAGATAAACGACGCATAAGTCGTCCGCTAAAAAGTAAAAGTGGTAACCTTCGTTCGTCAACGGCCTTCACTCGCGGCGCGTTTCCTACCCTCTAACGCTCGGCCAGTCCGCGAAGTACAATTACCGTGACATGAGGCGACAAAAAAATCATCCTCGCCGATCAACCGTTGAAAATGGCTTAGTTTCGTGCAGTTTTATGAAAAAAATTAACAGGAAAAAAGAATTTAATATAAAAATTTAATCCTACTTATATATTTTGTATCTCAAACTGCTGTTTTTAAAGTATAAAAGTATACTGAGAGAAAAAAATAGTTGGAATAACTATAATCTCACTATATTTTATAGTTCGTTTTGGCCTCAAACATATATTTATAGTTCATCTAAACATGAAGATATAGTGGAATAAACACAGATTTATAGTCACCATCTTATTACTCTATATATATGGTAAAGCACCTTTTGGGAATATAGTTACATGTACCTATATTTGCCAAATATTCCAATTGTATTGACTATATAAAATAGTTAATTTCTCTTACCATTCAATATTTGCTACCTTACTATATTTTTTATTTCAAATAATTATAATTCTTGGTAAAAATTTTACACGGATCAGTTATACTATGCTAATATTGTAAATATTACAAATATTATGGTAACATTTACTATAAAAATTATATTCCTAACTATAATCTTTTTACTATGCCATTATAGTTCCAAATATCATATATTTTTCTCTCAGTGTAGCGCGCGTAACTGCATTGAAAAATAAAGCGACAGAACACAAACTTGTAATATTGACGAGTGAATAATCAACAGAGAGATGCATAGAGCGATAAAATAGAACTTATATTCGTTCACGTCGTGCCTACGGATGACTTATTACGGGAAAGTGTAGAAAGTGTCGAGAATAGAGCGGGGTTAATGAGATGCATGGTGTGTAGCGCGATCGAAATCGACTTATCCTCACAGCTTGTTCTCGTCATTATTCGTTACTTCTGCTCGAAATAATCTGCTCCGTGAATAATCGAAAAGAGCGTCTCGTTAATTCGTGCCGTGCGCGCCGCACGATCCACTTTCGTTGCGAGGCTTATGGTTAAGAATAGCAGCATCACTTTGTGAAGATCGTCTGCGGAGAAGAGAGAATTAACGATAGTTCGACTTAAAGTTGCATTACGACATCGCCGTGTCGCCGAGATAGATTTTCTACGAGAGGAAAGGTAGAATCTACCAACGCAACAAGATGTATCTAATTAGACGAGGAAAAGATGAAAACGCGATAAAAGAAACTTTTAAAGAAATTTAATTTTATTAATTTAATTATCAAGAGAAATATATGCGTGATCGTAAAAAATAAGGGAGAACTATTGAAGCGTCAATGATACGTACAATATGGAACTGAAGGATACGCATACTAAGAGAAAAATGTATGATATTTGGAACTATAATGGCATAGTAAAAAGATTATAGTTAGGAATATCACTTTTATAGTAAATGTCACCATAATGTTTGTAGTATTTACAATATAAGCATAGTATAATTGATCTATGTAAAACTTTTACCAAGAATTATAATTATTTGAAATAAAAAATATGATAAAGTAGCAAATATTGAATGATAAGAGAAATTAAATATTTTATATAGTCAATACAATTGGAATATTTGGCAAATATAGGTACATGTAACTATATTCCCAAAGTGCGCTTTACTATATACATAGAGTAATAAAATGGTGACTATAAGCCTGTGTGTATTCTGCTATATTTTCATGTTTAGATAAACTATAAAATATAGTGAGATTATAGTTACTCCAACTATTTTCTCTCAGTGCGATGAAATGGTGTACAGAGAGAATTTTTAGAATTCAACCGTCATTTTTAGATTTCAATCGTCGGATCTTAATCTTCTGCTTTGCACAATTATTATTATTATCTATTTTTGTTGTCCTGTGCGTCTCAGTGTACCGCTGTTGACGAAGCTGTACAAATTGAAACATTACACTTACAAATAACTCTTCTCTATTGCGATCAGAGACGTCGGTAGATAATAACAATAACAATGGAGATAATTTTTCAAGTGTGATATAGTAAATCAACAATATATCATCGGCAATATTGAGAAATGCTTCCAACCGCTGTATCAGCCAGGAAAATTCGAGCAAACTGTTGCATTTTGCATAACAAGTTTTTACGTCAATTCATCGGTCACACTTGTGAAAAGTGACAAACAAGGTAACCGCGGGCCCGGAGTTATCTCAATTTTTTTCGCTTCTCGGCCTTCTCCTCGCGCGAGCTTGGCATCGAAAAAGTTCCAAAGTCGAAGATGTAGAAATGGTGTACGGAGAGAATTTTACAGCAACAATTAATATGAAGTTTTGTAACGGAGGAACATATCGACTTTCTGCCTCAAATTATTATTTCTTGATTTTATGTTATCTATATTTTAGGAGTCGCCTGCTATTAAAAAATTTACGATATTTTTAGATTGAAAAAAAGTGCAAGAAAAGCTATAATATTTTCTTCGTGTAGTTTTCAATGCCTTTCCACACGTATAGCTATTTTTTTTATAAAAATTCTATTCAATTTGACCACGTTTTCTATATACTGCAGGGATTGTCGATAGAGTTAATTTTGTTAAGAAACAGTAAATTTTCCTAAGAGACATACATAAAGATAATTTTTATAAAAAAAAAAAAATCACTATAGAATTTTGTAATCGAAGAATAGATCGGTATTTCGTAGTAATTTGTTATCATCTTCTTTTTAATATGTTAGTTATATTATATTTTTACTCATATTTTAATTACACTTTATTTAAAGTTTTATTTATAATATATATTTCAGGAATTTTTAAATGTGCTACCATAAAATCTGTTACATTTCTAGCGACATTTATTATGTTTCTTAAAAAACAGAGCTTACTAACAGTTCTATTCTTGCTAAAAACATAAAATTGTAAAGAGGGAATTTTTATGTGAAAAAAACTATAATATCTTTTCCATATAATACGATTTTTTTTTAAAGGGTCCTTTATCAGCATCACACAACGATTTTTCATCAAGGACCAGCGTCACATACATATGTGTTACAGCAAAAATTTCTTTTTCTATGTTCACATTATTAAACATTATTATTAAGTCCATTTTCCACAATTATGTCAAAACAAAAATACGAGGTGCGCTGTAGAGAGAATTCTCTGAATATATAATGATAGCGAACCGTGATAACAAAGTGTTAATGTTAGGTTTCAGTTTTCAAAATGTCAATAAAAAACACATTAGACTAAAAGGAGTAACAAATGAAGGCAGAATGTCGATATATTCCTCAGTCACAAGGTTCTCCAGTAATTTTTATTGCAAAGTTTTCTTTCTCTGGTTCGAATGTTTGAACTCTATTGCAAGTGATGATGCAGATCTCCACCGTGAAAATTTTCAGAGAGTCAAGAAGACGTCTTATCGCGAGGTCTATCGAAGGGAAATCGCGTTATGGAGATGGCGGAATAGTCGTAACGCGCGATCGCACTGATATCGATCGAACCTAGTTGACAGTGACTGAGCGTGAGTGAGTTTCTTAACTGACAATGAGCCATTATTCAGAACGTGTATAAATATGCGCGATCGGCTTACAGACACTCGTGCGTATAGTAGTTCCATTATACGTCGTATCTCACATAGGGAAGTCGGATCGATGGGCGATAGTGGAATTTGTTTCCTCGTGGGGATAACGCGATAATCGTTCGTTGAACAAAAAAAGGAAAAGAAGCATTCTTCGTATAGGAAGCCGGTTGTTACTATCAGTGGCTTGCTCCGTTCGCTAAGGCCGCGAAAGATGTAAAGACGCTCTATGTATTAACGATCGCTAGGTATTAAATCGATAGTCGCCTGAATGTCTCTTTTTACGAGATATGTATAAGTATAAAACGGTGTCTCGTTGGGGTCAATCGGTCACGATTCGCTCGATAGATATGTTCGTCTTACGCACCGCCACATAGAATGTGCTTTGCAAGACGAAAGAAAACTTCAATTGAGTATTCTAGATTTGTAGGAATATAAAAACTGAGTCACACGCAAATAACCATGAATACAAAGCCGCGAATTGTACGTGATTTCTGTTAGGGGCTATTGATGTCACGTTATCTTGTAACTTAGGGTAAGATTATAGTATACCATTTCATATATCATGTATTCTGTGTATTTTGCTTTGAAAAAAAAAAATCCAAAAGCTGTGCAAACGTTGAGCAGTACGCGTTACTTGAAAAACGACATAATTTT